ATCGTCCAGCGTTTCAAACCTGCCCTCTGGCGGCCCTCCCGCAATACCCGGCCCGCTGTGATGCGGAAGGGGGGAATGGTTGTGCCAAGGCTTTCCGCAAAGAGAAGCGTAGGGGGGCCTTGACCAATATTTGGGGTGTGAGAAGAAAAGAAAGATGTGAGGGAAATGAAGAACACGGGGAGCAAACGTCGGAGTTTCTCGCCGGATTGGGACCTGTCCAGGCTGAGAAGCCCAGGCTGTCTTTTTCTGACAGCCCCCCAACAGGGGACCTGCTCCGATTTGCTATGGGGGGGGGGGGGGGGTTGGTTTTTTCGGGGTGGCGGCAAGCCGGTGATGGTGAGGAGGACAAAGCGCGGCCGCCCCAACACCAGCGAAAGCACATTGTCGGGGCAGAGAGACCGCATTCGGGGCGCCACACCCGCTTGTTCGTGCGGCTGGGTTCCTTTTTTTGCCCAGTTTTGTTTTCGGCCTGCTCGAATCCGTCGAATCGTTTTGTTTCCTTTACGGCCCTCTTTTTGTTTCTTTGAAATCGACGGCCTGGATCTGGTGTGACATGCCCGTTCGAGAGGAGGTGGGCCAATCTCCTTTTCCGAAATCCCACTACCACCATCACTACCAAACGCCCAACCACTCCATGTCGTTCTTGCTTTACCCACTTGAGTTGCTTATTCGTTCTGCCCCTGTCTGCGCGTGCCTGCCAGCAGGTGTGTGAGGTGTGTGAGGTGAGCCATACGAGCGGGTAGGTGGGTGTGGGGAGCGGTGCTAGCAGACGTGCAGGTCGAGTAGCAAGGCCGCGGGCTGGCAGTGTGTGTGATGTGATTGGCCCCCAGCGATGAATATCCTCATTAGAGGGGGCTTTGCCTCTCGAGGCCAACCCCATTTTGACTCCGACAGATCAGCCCTAGCGCGCCGAGCCCCTGGTCAAAAGCGTGTCGCCGCGGGTGGATGAAGCTCCTCCATCCGATTCCCACTTTTGATAAGGGAGGAATGCTTAGCAAAGTGCCGGTTGGCTCCCTTGGGTGGCCCGCTTCTTTCCGAGCAAAGCTGGGGTTTCTGTGCCGATGGGTGGTTGGCGTGGTTGGACGGAAACAAACCGAGTGGGAGGAAACAGGGAACGCTCGGCGAATACGGGCGTGTGTGCGTGTGGCGCTTCTATCGGGTTGTGATTTGTGACATGTAGAAACCCGCCCATAGCCGTTCCCGGCTGCCTGCCCCGGGGGCTGCTGCGCGCTCTGGCTCTAGCTTGCCCACCTGCTGACAGCCCTGAGCGACGGGTGTTGTTCGGCCAGACTATCAGCACTAGGCCGGAGGCTAGAGGGAAGCGAGAGTGAAGCTTGGGAGTGCCGGGAGTGCGGGATCGGCGGGGGGGGACATGGACGCGACGCCGGCTCTTGATCAAAGCGCCAGCCACGACATGCGCTAGCCCACCCATCCACGTAGGTACCTGCCTGATACCTGCCTGTACCTACTAGTGCAGCGAGGCACCACCGACACGCCTGAGGACCACACCACCGGGTAGTTTGATCTGCCCGGCTCGTCTCTCGTGGCACCGCCCAACAATCGGTAGGGAATGAGGACGGTGGAGCATCAGCCATCCCATCTGGTACCCAGACACTACCAGGATTTTGCTCGCAGATAGGCCGTACGTCAACAGACCGAAATGCCTGGGTGCGCATGCACGGTCCGCCGTGCCATGTGCGCGCCTGGCCAGCCGACTGTCCTATCAGAAAACCACGTGTCGACCCCTACAGTACCCAACAGTACCCTACAGTACCTACAGTGCTCAAGGACGAGACCCCGGGAGCACCCCTAGAGCTGCATCACGGGCTGCCATGTGATTTCAGTCCAGGCAAGTCGTATCCAAACTACACCGCAGGACCAAGGCCAGGGTCTAGTGGGCCTTTTTTTTCTTTCTCTTGGGGTATGCTTATGTACTGTGTTCTCCGCGAAAAGGACCCATCCTCTCCGCCGACCGGCCCTGAGCTTGGCCAGAGGAGCACCTTGTGCTTGACGACTGGTTTGTCCAGCACAAGCAAGCGAAGCTCTTCTCCTCCCAGGTGTGGGCGATAAAGCACAAAGCAAGAAAGCAAACAGGCGAGGCCACGCGACTCGACAAGGTTTGTGTTGCCACGATGCGCAACAGAGCCAAGCTGCAAGTTGGTCGTTCGACTGGAACGGGATGCAGAAAAGGGGAATGGCATGGCAAATACAGCCCATGGCTTGAGTCGATGGTAGGTCACGATGCGGAGGTAGCGATGCCATAGAGTTTGCGGGGGTGGCAGCCAGGGGGGAAAAGGGAGGGGAAAGGAAGCCGGAGGAAAGGAAGCCAGAGCAGCAAGAAGAAGCAAACACACACGCACAACCAACCTAAAGACGGGATTCGTGCCTGGCTGAGACATGGCTATGAAAGCATAGACGGCGTGTATACATGTGTATATGCTGCCTTCATCAGTCAGACGACTCCATATCATGTAAAAATTAAAAGACATTCGCTTTCTCGCGAGAAGAGGGCCGACAGGGACGGCCGTAGAAAGTGAGGGGACGGGGCCCTCAGTCAGACAGTCCGAATTAGGCTTGAGGACAGGGGCAGGCCCGAGGCTCCGCATGGGATCGGCTCTAGCTCTTTGGCGGCAGCCGTGTTAGCATCCTTGGTGGCTCCCGCCGTCACTGGCTCAAGTGGCAGTCGTCACTCAACATCTGGCAGCACCGAGACGGCCTGTGTGCGTGCGACCTGCCGCCTCCTAGGAAGCAGCAAGCGGGCTGGTGGGCAGTCAAAATTGCGCAGTTGAGGTGCGCGGCATTGCAATTAAGCGTACACTGCTGCTGCTGCTGCTGCCGTGGCACGCGGCGCTCAACTGAAGCGCTGGAGCGGTGGCCCCGCCCATCCAGGCCAAAACTCTGGGGCTGTGTCATCATTCTCCATCGAGCCCCCATCATCTCTGATCCACGTTTTCTGGATCTTCTTTTTTCAAACCACAGCCGACTCCCTTGTTCGGCTCTGGAAGCTCCCTTTTTGCTTGGCACTGGATGCGCCAGCAGCCCCAAGAAAAGAAAACCATCCACCCGGCATTCGAACCCACCGGTCTGCCTGCCAGCCTGCCAGCCTGCCCCGTCTGTGGCGGCGCCGTCTTGCTTTCTGCTTTGGACCGGGCCCCTCCCTCGCAACAAACGTGCACGGTCGTTTCGGCTGTTGCCCTTGTGCTGGTGTTTCTGTTCCTGTCGCTGCTGTTGCCGCCGCTGCTGCTGCTGCTGCTACTGTCTCTCCTACTGCTGGTTCCGTGGTTCGCCCATTGGCAGATTTCCGATCGAGACACCCTTCAATCGAGCTCCAACGCCCACACCCACACTCCAGAGGAACCCGACTCGCCTCCCTGCTTTTTCTGATCAACCAGCCCCAGCAACGTCATCACGCCCCCTGCTTCGGGTCCAGCAGGGGCCCCGAATTTGATTGGCAGCCCGAATATCACTGCGTGCTACTTCCTTTTCCTCGCAGCGCTGGCTGGCTGAGCGACCCCTTGGGCATTGGGCATATTGCAAATTGCTTACACTGTCGGGTGGCTTCCAGGTTGTTGCTTTTTCCTTCGCTTTATTATCATTGTCATCCTTCTTTTTATCATTTAGGTTTCGTGCTGTCCTGCCATTGGCATGCTCCATCGGCCAAGGCTCCAGCGTGGAAACCATCTGGGGAAGGAGCACTGAGTGCCAAGCCACGCGCCGGAAAACTAAGACCGCCCGCCCAGCATCGCCCTCTCTGCTTCATCCTCGCATTGAGCCAACCAACCCACACCCACGTTCCGCCTCTTCCGCTCCACCGCCCTGTCGCTTCACCGACCGCCCTCGGCAGTGCTGCCTATCTGGTTGGGCCGAAAGCCGACACCAGCGACTTGCGCCGCTTGCCTTTTTCTTCTTCTTTTCTTTCTTGCCTCGATCCTCGTTCGACGACTTCACAGTACACTATCGCCTCCCTGGCGGACCGCAGACCAATCGCCCGGCTACCGACACGAAGCGAAGCGAATCAAAGCGATCCCATCTGTTCGGGTTCTGTTCGAGCTGCCTGCCGCCCCGTCCCGATCTTGCCGGCCGTTTGCCCTCGTCGCGGCCTGCGAAACCACCACCCAGCCGCCTGCCCGCACACCCTCCAACTCTCGCCGTTTGCTCCCGCCGCCTGTGCTTCCTTTAATGAGCGTGTAGCCTGGTGCTACGAACACGGGCCAGCATCCAAACACCATCCCGCGCGCTGCTGCAGGTTTCCCCCCCTCGCGAGGGAAATCCAGGATCCCAGAGGGCCGCCTCTTTCTCCCATCCTTTCGAGCACGTTCCGGTCCGAAGCCCAATCTTTGGGATCTTCGAACCACCCAAACTCTAGCTTCTCATGATGGGCGCCTGCATGAGCTCGAGCAGTGAGGAGACGGAGCAAAAAAAGAGGAGCCAGAAGATAGACAAGGACCTCGAGGAGGACTCCAAAAGGCTACGACGGGAATGCAAGATCCTGCTTCTAGGTAAGTTTTTGTTCCATTGCGTCCTCCAACGCGCATCCGCGCCGCCGCCGCCCACGCTCCAGAGCGTGGCCGTGCGAACGGGATGGGCGCCATCTCCCTCGGAAGCGGGACACGCCAAACTGACAGGGACTCGACCGCAAACGCGCAGGCTCCGGCGAGAGCGGCAAGTCGACAATTGTCAAGCAGATGAAGATCATCCACCTCAAGGGCTATTCGGATGACGAACTGTACAACTACCGACCAACCATGTTCAAGAACCTGATCGACTGCGCAAAGGCCGTCGTTACTGCAATGCGCCAGTTCGAAATCGAGCCACAACTATCCGGCAACCGTGAGCTATGCGACTTCCTGATCGATTACAGCGTCGAGGCCGGTCCTCAGATCGAGATGGACCCTAAGGTCGGCCGCGCCATCCAGTCGATATGGAACGACCCGGCAAGGGAGCAGTTGATGTTGCGACAGACCGAATTCTACCTAATGGACTCGGCCGAATAGTGAGTTTTACTCTTCCTGGCAGTCTGTCGTGGGACAGACGTCCAAAGATCACAACCCGCTGACGCATCCCCATCTCGTCCCGCAGCTTCTTCCAGCAGGCCATGAGGATCGTCTCGCCCGACTACCTACCCAGCGAGATGGACGTTTTGAGAGCTAGGACAAAAACAACGGGCATCTACGAAACGCGCTTCCAGATGGGCCAGCTGAGCATCCAGTATGTTTGCTTCCCTCACCCTTCCGTAACACCTCAAGTCACTGACCAGACCGCCTCTCCTATCCAGCATGTTCGATGTCGGCGGCCAAAGGAGCGAGCGGAAGAAGTGGATCCACTGTTTCGAGAACGTGACGTCCATCATCTTTTGCGTCGCCCTGAGTGAATACGACCAGGTTCTGATCGAGGAGAGCAGCCAGGTAAGCCCTGTCCCGCATCCCTGTCCCGCATCCCCATCCCCATCCCCATCCCCATCGCTGTCGCTGTCGCTGTCGCTGTCGCTGTCGCCTCGACTTTCCCATCGCTGCCCGCCCGCTTGCCGTCCGCCAGACTAACCATAGCCGTCCCGTCGTCCAGAACCGGATGATGGAAAGCCTGCTGCTCTTCGACTCGGTGGTGAACTCGAGGTGGTTCATGCGGACCAGCATCATCCTGTTCCTCAACAAGGTCGACATCTTCAAACTGAAGCTCAGCCGGTCCCCGCTAGGCAACTACTTCCAGGACTACTCTGGCGGCAAGGACGTGAACAAGGCTGCAAAGTACCTCCTATGGCGCTTTAACCAGGTCAACAGGGCACACCTGAACCTCTACCCACAGTATGTGACGTGGCCAGCCCACCCCCACTCCCTGACTTGTCCCGATTTGGAGGTCGACCGCTCCCGCTCAGCCCCTGCGCCTTTTTTTTTCTTTTTTCCTCTCCATCTTTGTGCTAACCAGTGCTCCAACGCATCTTCTAGCCTCACGCAAGCGACTGACACGTCAAATATCCGTCTCGTGTTTGCTGCCGTCAAAGAGACCATACTCAACAATGCTTTGAAAGACTCGGGCATTCTGTGATTATTTGGTCCACAGAAGCTCATCAGCACCAACGCTCTCTCACCTCCCCCACAACGGTCGACAGGGCAAAAATCCACTGCTTATGTCCGTCCCTCCCACCGTATTCGTGTTCTCCTTAAACCTTTCTCTTCGTTCTATTTGTCCATGACGGCAGTTTTCATTACCTAGGACGTTCCATTGACGGGAGCATCCATCTTAACGAGTGGCGATATTCCACAAGCATTGGTTCGGAGTTATGGTTGGCAGCCTGCGTTTACTCGTTTCCCTTCTCGTCCCACTCGGCCCTACCTCCGCATGCCGGCTACATTGTTTCCTTATCACTATTGCTATTTACTTTGTCCCCATTTCATCTCTATTTTCTGGTGCGTGGCGTTTGTCGAGGGCCCTCTTATTCGCTTTATCGCATTGCATATGCCTGTTTCTTGGATCATCTTGCTACAAGCAACTACTCTGGAGGGATTTTGGGTTAATGTGGCAATGGCACACGTCAACGGATTAGGTATACGAGGAGTTGGACCGTCTCTCTTACAGCAAGATATTTTATTGCCACTGACTCTGACCCCGCATCATCCCCGACGACCATCGACTGCCAGGCGGTATCTCGATGTTGGACCCTGATCTTGACCGACGGCCACTGTGCGCGTCGCCCGCCACCCATTTTCTCTGTGTGCCTGTTGTAGGAGAAGGAAAGGCGAGATCCTGGAAAGGTTCGGAGCAAATGAGCGGATCATGGATAACTAATGCGTAGATTATCTATGCCTAGGTACCTATCGAGGTGGTTTCTCTAAAAGCTTTGTCATGCGTCCCAGCCGTGCTGGCGAATACACAAAATTCCCTGCGCAAGCTCTGATCCTGTGATGCAAAATCGGACTGCACGTTTGGGAGCAAAAGCGTGGAAAGCATGGAGAACATGAGGCATGGGATTGGCGGGAGAACATGGGCGGCTCGTCACCCGTATCCGGGCGTGCCGCCCAACCGCGCGGAGATGGCCCGCGGCTATCCACCGCCATTATATCCAGCACGTTCGGATGCCTGAACCTCGGATTGGAGTCTGGAACCATGGCAGTTGAGACTATCTGAGCGGCTTTGGGCACAACAAGGAAGACTCTTCTCTGACGATCCTGGCACTGCCTGTAGCTTGGGCTGTTTCAGTGGCAGTTCGAGGCCGGCTTGCGATCCGGATGTGAGGGCATAGGTGTGTATGTCCCACCGGCAACACACATACGCACAAATGAGAAACGACCGACGTTGATCCGTAAATTGGGTCTGGACAACCAGATCGTTTTCTGTGGCTGGACACGACATTAAAGGGATTGGGCTCGGTTTATGTGACGCCGAGTGATGGGCTACCTAGCTTGTGAATGCATCAGTCGATATCCAATGGGGTCGTCGCGGGGTATTGCATCTCCCTGCCTCGTTCGTGGAAAAAAAAGAGAAAAAAAAGGAAGACTGTCTGGATGTCTCGGTTCTTTTCGAGGATATTTTTCATGATATATTCAAATACGTCCAAGAGTACCCATAGACCGTCTCCATCTTGTTTTCCGAGTAGGTGTCGCTCAGTGACATGGGCGATCACGTCCGATTCTACAGACAAATTTTTTTTTTTTTTTGATAGCCGGGCCAGGCAGCGAGGTTTAGCAACAGGAATCGGGAGCAGGAGCAGATGGCCAGGCAATTCTCCTTTTCCCTTCTATGGAGGATGCAAGTCTGCCTGCATGCATGCAGCAGCACGATCTAACTTGTCCAGTCTGCACATGCGCACACCATATGCACGCTATCGTCTGCACGGTAAGCTGGCGAGCGCGGCCCATTTGTTTGACTACTTATATTGCCGACGTGTGTCTTCCTCTGCCCTATCCTTTCCGTCTACGTAGGTAGTTGGGCGGGGTCCGATGTCGTGCGAGACTGCGAAAGTCGCAAAAAAAAAAAAAAAAGGAAGGCCGCCTTCCTTCCTCCCGCCCATGCACAAGAATCCCGAGGAAAAGCGACCTGCGAGCCCGAGACAGCCCAACAGCGGTCTATCTGTTGCCGGGCTTGCCGCGGGCTCCGGGGGTACATGACACCACTTGACGTGAAGAGAGCAGAAGTAAAAGAAGGCTCTCTTGGCCCGAGGGCTTACCCCCTCCACTCCCAAACCTGCAGGCGGTACGGTCGACTAGACAAAGGGAGCCGATGCTCCCACCACGCCGCGGGGCTGCTCTTCCCTAGGATCAACTGCGTCACTGTACAGCCCCTCGTCCAGGACGACGGCAACCAGTATGCATATGCCCATGTTCTCTGGGGTACGTGCGTGCTTGCTAGTGTCGCGGTAGCACCAGGACGGACCGGTGAGAGGCCAAGGGCGGCGGCCGCACGACGCGGTTTTCTGAACACATGCGACATGCCCACCACACGCTCAGGCTCCGGATCCGAGGGCCCCTCATCTCTGCGCCTTGCCTTGGGGGGGAGGCATCGCGATGAGCTGGCGGCCGCTTCCCATCGTATCGTCATCACTTGGGAGTGCTGCCGTTGGGTTGAAACGGGCATGGATGCACAAGCGTGCAGGCACTGCACTCTCTTTCTCCTCTCGTATGCCGTCTTGGCCGCCCGGGTTATTTAAAGCGATGGACAGAGCCAACGACGCGACAGGCCCAGTGCCAGGATTCCCCCTCGTAGCAGCTGCTGTTGGGTGAGACGAACGGCTCATATCGGCAGCCCCCACTGCTCTCCATCTCCATCTCCCCTCGTCTTGATATCGGCCTTTTCTCCCGTCCCAAAATTGTCCCAATCTCTGCAGCTTCGCTCGGGTTCGCCTACCAGCCCAAAGCCTCGAATCCACGGCGCCGGCGCAGACTGATAGGAGCCCCAAAGTCGATATCTCCACGTTCCCGCCCGTCAGGTGTGGAGGGGAAGCCATCTTTTTCTTGCTTTCTGAAGGCCCAGAGCCCCTTGCAGGAGCTGGGAGCTCTCTCTCTAGCGCAATTGACGCTGCAGTGGCCTGACCCCACCTTGGCGACGAGAACCCCGCCTGCATTCTGACGTAGAGGTAGGTTCATTGGGTGTGAGCTTCCCTCCCGATGGGGAGCTCCACGGCTGGCGCCCAACAGAGTTCCCCTCCCCCGCCGCCGCTGCCGTTGCCGTCTTATCTGGTCCCTCCAGCAGAATCCCCTCCACTCCACCTGTCGCCAGCGGAGCATCCTCTCCAGCGGCCGTAGTCAGCCCACATGAGCTCCAGCGACTAACACGAGCAGCAGGCAGGCCCGCTCAGGTCCAGACGCTGCACTTCCAGACCTCGACCTTCGAACCAGCTCATCCTCCACCTCGACCCTCCTCAGTCTATTTCCGTTTGCTCCAAGCATCGTTCTGCCTATCGCGTGTTTGCAAGGGGAAAAGGGAAAGACTATAAAGAAAAAAGTTTAAAAACAGGGGCCCAGTTCAGACATCCTACAAGACAGCATCTCTACCCCGTCCCGTCTTACCTGGACGCTACCTATAGCACCACCATACCTATCAGCCCTAGGCAAAAACAGGAACACCAGCAGGCCCAGTTTCTTAGCAGGGCAGACACGATGGCGCCTTCCGACAAGACCCAGCAGCGCGTGCCCATGCGCCAGCGCCGCCCCTCCTCGGGCGCCCCCATCGTCGACATCACGGGCTCCGTCGGGCCCGCCGGCGTCTCGCGCCCCAAGCACAGGCGCACCTTGACTGGCTTTGGGGCCGGGGAGATCAAGAGCGTCGAGGGTGTGTTTGTTTCCTTCATAGTTGCCCCTACCCCCAGCTACCCCTGAGCCCCATGCAAGGCCGCCCTCTGGAACAGCCGCTGACTTTTCGGGCACCCAACAGCCTCCATCCCCGAGCCCCAGCGCGCCGCCTGGACGGCGCACAAGGCCAAGGGCTTCAAGGACAAGGACCAGTTCGAGAGTGAGGTCGTACGGCACGTCGAGACCACCCTCGCCCGCAGTATCTTCAACTGCAACGAGGATGCCGCCTACTCGGCCGCCAGCCTGGCCTTCCGCGACCGCCTCATCCTCGACTGGAACAAGACCCAGCAGCGCCAGACCTTTGCCGACTCCAAGCGCGTCTACTACCTCAGTCTGGAATTCCTCATGGGCCGCGCCCTCGACAATGCCATGCTGAACCTGAACCTGAAGGACGTGGCCAAGGGTGAGTTGCGGGCCAAGCTGTCTGGCCCCTGGGGTGGTCGGGGGCGGCCACGAGAAACCATGGCGGGCTCTCGCTAACATCGCGCTCGCCTTCTGCTTTGCGCCGTGACTTACAGAGGGCATGTCGGAGCTCGGCTTCAACCTTGAGGACGTCATCCAACAGGAGCACGACGCCGCCCTCGGAAACGGTGGCCTTGGCCGCCTTGCTGCTTGCTTCCTCGACAGCATGGCCTCCCTCAACTTCCCAGCCTGGGGCTACGGTCTGAGGTATCGATACGGAATGTGAGTTGACGCCAAGATATCCCAAACCACTTCACAGAGACAGGACCGGATCACTAATAGCCTACGGGCAGATTCAAGCAGGAGATTGTCGACGGGTACCAGGTGGAAGTGCCAGGTACAGTCAAAATCCGTCCCGGCATACAAGTTGAATTATGACGGCTGATAATAGTGAATAGACTACTGGCTCGACTTCAACCCGTGGGAGGTATGGCATCAAGCTAAACCCATATAAACAACAGCTGCTGACCAACAATTCCACGTACACAGTTCCCTCGCCACGATGTCACTGTTGATGTGAGTTTCTATACTTAGTTGAATGCTGCAACCTCTTTGTCCTCTTTATTCTTACATCATGGCTATCACTAGATCCAATTCTTTGGTCGCGTTCAAAAAACCACAGGCAAGTCGGGCAAGACGGTCTGCAGCTGGGAGGGCGGCGAGTTTGTCACAGCTGTCGCCTACGACGTGCCCGTCCCTGGATACTCGACGCCGACCACCAACAACCTGCGGCTGTGGTCCAGCAAGGCGGCAAGCGGCGAGTTCGACTTCCAAAAGTTCAACAGCGGCGAGTACGAGAGCTCGGTGGCGGAGCAGCAACGCGCCGAGACCATCAGCGCCGTCCTGTACCCCAACGACAACCTGGACCGGGGCAAGGAGCTACGCCTGAAGCAGCAGTACTTCTGGGTCGCCGCCTCCCTCTACGACATTGTCCGCCGCTTCAAGAAGACCAAGCGCGCCTGGAGCGAGTTCAGCGACCAGGTCGCCATCCAGCTCAATGACACGCACCCCACGCTCGCCATCGTCGAGCTGCAGCGCATCCTGATCGACCTCGAGGGCCTGGAGTGGGACGAGGCCTGGAAGATCGTGCAGAGCACGTTCGGCTACACCAACCACACGGTGCTTCCCGAGGCCCTCGAGAAGTGGCCCGTCGGCCTCATCCAGCACCTGTTGCCTCGCCACTTGCAGATCATCTATGACATCAACCTGTTCTTCCTCCAGACGGTTGAGCGCCAGTTCCCCGACGACCGCGACATCCTTCGCAGGGTCTCCATCATCGAGGAGGCGCAGACCAAGATGATCCGCATGGCGCATCTTGCCATTGTGGGATCGCACAAGGTCAACGGCGTGGCCGAGCTGCACAGCGACCTGATCAAGACGACCATCTTCAAGGACTTTGTTGAAATCTTCGGACCCGACAAGTTCACAAACGTGACCAACGGCATCACCCCCCGCAGGTGGCTGCACCAGGCAAACCCCAAGCTCTCGGACCTGATCGCCAGCAAGTGCGGCGGCCACCTGTTCCTCAAGGACCTTACGCTCCTTAACAAGCTCGAGGACTCGGTAAACGACGCGGCCTTCCGCAAGCAGTGGGCGGCCATCAAGCGCGCCAACAAGGCGCGGCTGGCCGACTACATCAAGCGCACGACCGGGGTCACGGTCAGCCCGGACGCGCTGTTTGACGTGCAAGTGAAGCGCATCCACGAGTACAAGCGGCAACAGATGAACATCTTTGGCGTCATCCACCGCTACCTCGCCATCAAGGCCATGACGCCCGCGGAGCGCAAGAAGCAGCTGCCGCGCGTGTCCATCTTTGGCGGCAAGGCGGCGCCTGGCTACTGGATGGCCAAGCAAATCATCCACCTCATTAACAGCGTCGGCAAGGTTGTGAATGCCGACGAGGACGTCGGCGACCTCCTCAAGGTCGTCTTCCTCGAGGACTACAACGTCAGCAAGGCCGAGATGATCATCCCGGCCAACGACCTTAGCGAGCACATCTCCACTGCCGGCACCGAGGCTTCGGGCACCAGCAACATGAAGTTTGTCCTGAACGGTGGACTCATCATCGGGACGTGCGACGGCGCGAATGTGAGTCTGCGACGTGAAATGGGTCTGTCTGCCCCAGTGGCTCTTGGCACTTTACTAACAGAAACGCTCACCACCCCTGTTGTCAGATCGAGATCACGCGCGAGATCAGCCCGGACAACATCTTCCTCTTCGGCAACCTGGCCGAGGATGTCGAGGATCTCCGCCACAACCACACGTACGGGAAGCACACTGTGGACGCGGAGCTGCTCAAGGTCTTCGAGGCGATCCAAAGCGACCAGTTTGGCGACTCGCAGAACTTCAACAGCCTGATCGCGGCCATCAAGGACCACGGCGACTACTACCTGGTGTCGGATGACTTCAGCAGCTACCTGGACACGCACAAGCTCGTCGACGAGGCGTACCGTGACCAGGAGGGCTGGATCACAAAGACCATCACGAGCGTCGCGCGCATGGGCTTCTTCACCAGCGACCGCTGCATCAACGAGTACGCCGAGGGGATCTGGAACATTGAGCCGCTCAAGGTTGAGGCCTCGGAGTAAGCTTGAGGTCGTGTCGCCACTTGCTCGCAAAGCATAGGAGGTGCATGGTGTGGTTCGGACTGTGTTGATCTCTGTCAGAGGCTTGGGTCGGGCCGAGGTTTGGGTAGGGTGATTCAAAAATAGCAGGCAGAGTATTGTCGAGAGTATGTTGAATAGGCACAACTCATCCCTAATGCCCATGACAGTCATGTTGACGCTAAGGTATTGCGCAACGCACACACACACACACCTCGGCATCCACGTGGGAGCCAGTGCCGTCAGCGGGGCAGGCTCATGGATTCCCGACGGGGGCAAGACCTTCCTAGCCGAACCGTGAGTAACGAAGGGTGATCGGGTAGATCTCGGATCGACATTCCATCATTATTTGGGTGTCATGCGTGCCTGGGAGTGTTGGGGTCGTTATTGAAGACATGCCACCGATTTCGGGAACAGCCGGGGGCCAAGAAGGTCTTTATGACAAGTGACGGAGCAAAAGGATACCCATCTAAACAATGATAATAATAGAACGAAAAAGCCAATTACAATGAATGTGTTGAACCATCAACATCTCCGGACCGCCTGGCTTTTCGCCAAACCGCCCGAACTGAAATCTGCGTCACCCCCGTGTGTGTTGCACGGAGCTGCGGCCGCGCGCGTGTCGAGCAGAAGACCTATGCAGATGCGCGAGGCCTGCCTGCCTGCCTGCCTGCCTGCCATCAGTGCTGGCGAGGGATATCACCCGCTGCGTGATTTGTTTCCCAGCTACAGTATTTACAGACACCTACCACGTACGCGGCCGAGGCAGTCAGGTTTCCATTGCAAAAGGGACTAGAACGGACAAGCGCCCCATGTCGTGATGCTGTTTTGTCGCAAGTGACGTGCGGACGGAGGAGGCCCCATTGGCACGGCACACAATAGACACACACACACCCCATGTTTGTTTTCCCCTCCTCTCGCCGGCTCCGGGGTCCCATGCTTGCTCGGGGACCACTCGCGATCGCGCCCCTTGCGTGCGAAGCGTCGTTGGCCCTTCCGGAGCAAATACCCCGGCCGGGGAGTTCAGAGGGGAAGGGAGTCAGTCCTGCATTGTGTCCCCCTTTCGCCACCTCAAAAATTCCCAGGGATCACAAACCTTAGTACGGTGGATCCTGGTGGTACATCAGTTTGGCTTGGTTTTCTAAGGAAAAAAATGTATCTTGCTCCACCGCACTAGTGTTTGTGATCCCTGGAACCTATACGGCCAACTGCCTTTTTCGTATCAGGGAGGCGCGCACAGAACGCCTCCCGAGTTGGCGGTGGTGGGTGAGATGGAAAGGATAAGTGGGCTGGCCTGGACCGTCGACCAAGGCTGGCGCGCGGGATACAGACCTTGTCCCCTGCGGCATGATGTCACGCTGCAGTGCACAGCGGGGGTCGTGGCCTGCATCTGCGGAGCAACCCGCCAAGGTCGGGTCACGGCTCAGGGCCAGGCCCAGAAGCAACTCGCTCGTGCTGCTTCTCAGGTGTCAGGCTTCTTCGTGGCAGACGGGCTCGCAGGGGTATGGAAGCACCAACCACGGCGAAGCAAAACGCCACAGCCACCCACAGCCACCCTCGCATCTACGTACTGTGCAGCACCTCCCTCATGGAGAATGAAACCCCACACGCCGCGGCGTCAGACTCAGACTGACATGATTTAGAGTAAACGGGCAGAAAGGCTGCGTAATGGTGTCATCGCGCCGCCTTCTCCTTCGTGTCAGGGTCCAACGTACTTAGTCTCGCAGTCCCGTCCCAGGAACAGGGACAGGGAACCCTTTTTCCCTACCCGCTGGGTCGGGGGCGTTGATCTAGCCAGGCAGTGCCTTAGAGATTGATTTGGAGGCGAGAATGGCTGGGTGAGCCCGGCAGGGTGCCCCCTAAATACCCACATACCCAAACAAAAGGCTAGCACGCACGAGACCCGCACCGGCTGGTTGCTGCTGTTGGCTAACCAAAGCTGGAATACGGCCGATCAAGCAGACGGAGGCCAAAGCGGCACGGTGGCCTCCAGTCCGACGCGACGGGGCGGTATCCAATGCGGGAACTGGATGTGCCTGAATATCACCTGCGGAGCATGATGTCGAGACTTGCGGCGAGCTGACCCGTGTGAGTTGTTGGTCCCACGATGGGATACTGGAGGGGCCCAGCACGCCAGCAAGCAAGCTCCAAATGGAAACCTTCCCCCTGATTCGCGCACTTTCGCGCACTTCCAAGAAGCAGAGCGGCAGGGATGGGGATGTGATGGGGTGGTGTTTCTTCCGGGGAGGGGCCGGCGTCACCCTTCGGCTTGCTGTTCCAGGGCGAGCCTGTTGTCAGGGCCATGCCGGACGGGACTAATCACAATTTGTTTGTACAGTCTGGTTCATTCCAGTCTGAGGGCGGTGTGTGCTGCTGCCCTTGCGTTGCATCTGTTTCTGTTCAGCTGCGTATTTGCTCCTTTTCCGCCGGCAGAGCTTTTGCCGCCGATTATTTTTTTTTTTCCTTGCCGCTTGCTTTTTTTTGTTGTTCTCGGCAGCTGGCCCGATTGTCGATGGCGCACTCTAAGGTCGATTCTCGGCGCAGGACGAGGGCTGCCATCGAAGCGATCGAACGGGCTTCGCGTGCCGGGCATCCTATTGGCAGGCGCTAGGGCCCTGTCGCGGCAGAAGCGGGTCCTGGGTGGGTTGCTTGGCGCAAAGCACAGGCCAGGATACCGATTTTTTGGAACGGCCGTGACGTCACCACCTCTGGAAGGCGGGGTGGCTGCCAGCGAAACAGGAGCCCGCAAGCTCACCAGCTTGGAAAGTCTGCTCTGCTGACGAGCCAGGACGAGGAGGCGGTAAGGACGGGAGTTGAGCCTTGGGGACCAGACGCCACCTGGGCCAGCCTCATCAGGCCACCGGCCGGGCTGCAATGTGCATGCTGGGCGTGCTGTGCAGCGCGAAAGGGGGGTCACGCCTGCGCCTTTGTGATACCGTTGGGTTGGCACCAAGGCACCCTCACACGCTCGCGATGGCTGCCGGGACCAGGTGTCGGGCTGGATGGGGCTCTGGGACGGGGACGAGACGGGGACGAGGCCTGATGGCCGTCAATGGGCAGAGCAGAGACGAGAGGAGAGGAGAACAGGAGGTGGGCATTGCTGGGCTCAGAGACGGGAAGCTTGCTGAAATGCATCCACGTACAGTAGATTGGACGCGCGAGAACACAGGGAAAGGGACAAATCCCGTGCGTGGTCAGCGTGGCCCCAAACCGGTTCTCGTGTCGCCGTGGGTGCTTCCATATCAGAGCTCCTTTTCTTTGCTGCGTGCCCAAGCTGCACAAGGTACCCGCAATCCGGTCCAGCCTGCTTGTTTGGTCGAGAGGGGCGTCTTCCTGCATGCCTACCTGGTACCTACCTCTAGCTACTTCCTCCTCCGGCTGTCCTTCCCAATATTTTCACACCTCGCTGTCCCCGGGCTGCTCTGTGTTCTTCTCCCTCTCCCCCCCATCCTCCGCTCGCCTCCCCTCAAGCATCCCTACCGCCCATCACCGCCTCATCGCGCCCTAGGAGACGCTCAAGAGACACGCGCTGCTGCCGCCTGCCTGCCTTGCACTCTGCCAGCCTGCCGTTGAGAGGACGAGAGAAACGACTGAAACATCCATCTCCCCGAGCTCCCCCACTCTCAGAAGGGCGCGCTCCTGCTATCGACGGCCCTCCCTTCCTCTTTGCAGAACTCGCTTTGTTCGCGCCTGCGTTCTCCCACCCTCGTGGCGCTGAACCGCCAGATTTCCGTGCGAACACGGGCCAAGGCTCGGAACCCATTTACTGTCTGCCGCAGCGCGCCGCTGCTTGTTGACCAGGCGCATTTACTTGGTCTTGCTTGATCGCCGCAGAACTTCTGGGCCGAGAGCTCAACAAGGCAACAGCGACGACGATCGTCTGGCATCAAGGCGAAACCGCGCGTCGCATTAGTCTGGTGAGTGTCCCCGTCTTAGGAGCATGCCAATGGTGCAGCAAACTGGAGGCCGACTGCCTACAATCCATGCCCAATTCCCCCGCCCAAGCAGTGCTGCCTCTTGGCCACTACAGCCTAGCAAGCCCTTCAAGCCTAGATGTGCTCTTGTCGGGCCCATTCTGCGGGCATCCACAGAAATCGGGCCGCCTGCACTGGCAATCTCCGCCGTAGCCAGAGCCCAGGCTCAGTCAGGGCAGGGCAATATTTGATGCAGAGGCCAGCCCCACGGGGAGAGCGACGAGTGCTGGCAGCATGTGCTAACTGCCCGCGCCCCTGGGAAGGCTACTTGCGATCCATAGCACAGACAACTGCATCCTCGGGAGCCCGCTCTTCGGCTGACTTTGAAAAACCACGCTGCGCACACCCGGCACCCAATCCTTTTTTTGCGCCAGTCTTTGGTTTACCACTCGTTGAGTTTGCCGAGTCAACCGACGCGCTGCGCCGCTCGCGCTCCGCCATTGAAACCACCACTCGCATTTTCAACCCCACCGTCCACAACCCCCGCGCCCGCATCACCACACCACCCACGACAACCTCGCTCGACTTCCGAACAAAGAAACCCCCCAGCATCTCACCATGGCCGAGTTCGTTCGGGCCCAGATCTTCGGCACGACGTTCGAGATCACGTCGAGGTATTTGGCGCCCTGGTCAAGTCGCCCCCTTGTGCGACCCGGCCGCTAATACTGCTGAGCACAGGTACTCGGATCTCCAGCCTGTTGGCATGGGCGCATTTGGTCTGGTCTGGTAAGATGCATCTGAGGCTCCCCGGCGACCGTGTTTCTGCCTTTTTTTTTGTCTGCGCTGGCAGCAGCCTGCTTGCGCATCATGTGCTGACCATGGAACAGTTCTGCGCGAGACCAGCTCACCAATCAGAATGTCGCCATCAAGAAGATTATGAAGCCTTTCAGCACCCCGGTGCTCGCAAAGAGGACATACCGAGAGCTGAAACTACTTAAGCACTTGAAGCATGAGAATGTTGGTTGCCTCTGCCTGCTTAGCCGGCAGCACTTCCCGCCGCCTTGAAGTGCAACTTTTCTGACAGTCTCAAAGGTCATCTCGCTGAGCGATATCTTCATCTCGCCCCTGGAGGACATGTGAGTTTGACGTCTCCAGGAATGCGCCATGTACCCAAAGCTAATCATTGGCATACTGCAGCTACTTCGTGACGGAGCTGCTGGGAACCGATCTGCACCGTCTTCTCACATCGCGGCCCCTGGAGAAGCAATTCATCCAGTACTTCCTCTACCAGATCATGGTATGACTTGAACCACTTTGCGCTGCCTCGCCGGCCGCCGACTGTAATCTCGACTAACCGCTCTCGTCACAGCGCGGTTTGAAATACGTTCACTCGGCCGGTGTTGTACACCGTGACCTAAAGCCCAGCAACATCCTCGTCAACGAGAACTGCGATCTCAAGATCTGCGACTTCGGACTTGCGCGCATCCAGGACCCCCAGATGACGGGCTATGTCTCCACCAGATACTATCGTGCGCCGGAGATTATGCTTACTTGGCAAAAATACGACGTCGAGGTCGACATCTGGAGTGCTGGCTGCATCTTTGCCGAGATGCTCGAAGGCAAGCCTCTATTCCCGGGCAAGGACCACGTCAACCAGTTCTCCATCATCACGGAGCTTCTCGGCACACCCCCGGACGACGTCATCAACACCATCGCGAGTGAGAATGTGAGGAATATTCCTGTGTGGCTGTGTGCATGCCGTGCATGCTGTGCAGTCTGTGCACTCGTGTTGTTGGGACATGCGGCGGCTAACCTCTCCTAGACTCTGCGATTCGTCAAGTCACTTCCCAAGCGCGAGAGGCAACCCTTGAAGAACAAGTTCAAGAACGCCGATGCATCAGGTAATTACCCCCGATCTACCTCGCAGAAATAGTCCGGATGCTGACCGGATGCTGAACTACCCCTAGCCGTCGACTTGCTCGAGAAGATGCTTGTCTTTGATCCTAAGAAGAGGGTCACGGCTACGGATGCGCTCGCCCACGAATACCTGACCCCGTACCACGACCCCACCGACGAGCCTATTGCGGACGAGAAGTTCGACTGGAGCTTTAATGACGCCGACCTCCCAGTGGACACATGGAAAATCATGATGTACGACGACACACCGGCCTGTTGTGCCTTGCCACGCCATGCCACGGCACCCCGCCCCTGCAGCCAGTGCTAACATGTTCGTCTTACCAACCTAGGTACTCGGAAATCCTGGACTATCATAACGCGGAAGCCGGGCTGCAGCAGATGGAGGACCAGTTCGCCGGCTAATAAAACGCAACGCCTGCGAGAACCTTGCGCGATGGACGAAGTTGCGATCTTTCCATGATACCACGACTATACATCCACAAGCCTTTCCTGTTCATGTTCACCTTCCTTGGCCTTTCATTCCTGTTTTTCACTTTCATTTCATTCCTTATACTTGTCATGATACGGTCACGGTCTCCGAGGCGTTGGAAGAAGGGTATTTGTCTCGTCGTAAAGCACGCCGACAGAAATATGGAGTAAACGAAGGGGAACACGGCCCCAACACTGGGTCTATGGTTTATTTTTCTTGGGCTCGCGTTGTCGCGTCGCCGCGTCGCCGAGTGAGGCACGATAGACAGGGGGCGCACACCACCCGCTAGGAAACAAGGAGTCAGCATGTTCTTTGGCCACCGCTACAAGAGCGAAAGGACTGATGGGAGGGTATCTCTTATGCTCGAGCCGGATGTCGGAATCACGAGGAGGACGAAGAAAAGCGCCCTGATGAAGGTTGCCAGGAGCATGTACACGCAGAGAGCCATGGTGCGGCGCCTGATGGTCGCAACGTTGCAGCTAGAGGCATAAATAAACGCACTGCCTCGGTCGCGCCCATTTTTCGTCTCGATATGTCTCGACATGTCTGCGCAGGCAGCAGATTGCGGGGTGCGGAAGGATACGGACCGGCAGTGCCGACATCGGGCAATATGACGGACCGGGAGATGGGAAGCAGAGGGGTTTGATGTTTACACGAATCCACAGGTGCGGCGGGCTCCCGAGAAGATGCCGTTATTGTCCTGTTCTCTGATGCGGCTGGCCGGGGGTTCCAGAAAAGGAACATCACTCTCTGGTGATGGCGAAAAGGGAAGAAAGATGACAGGAAGACGCCGGCGAGAAAGGATGACTTCCGTGTCTCGGGACCCGACATGCAGCAGATATGCAATGCAGAGCCACGCTGGCATCACGTATTGTTCATATGGCCTGGCCGAGGGTCATGCAATGCAGGCGGCGTGCCCACACACGCACGCACGCGTGCACGCACGGGCTTGTGAGCTGTGCCGAGCCCTGTCTGCTGCCTCGATGGACTGACATGAACGGCGATTCCAGATGGGCGAGCCTTTTTGGTGGCTGGCGGGCATTGTGCCTGTGTTGGGCTAAGGATGGCAGGATGGGTTTTGTGATCGACGTCTATTGACTGACACTACCCGCCCATCCAAGGGGGAAACGGAGAAGAAAAAAAGACAAAAAAAACAAAAAAAACAGCGGCCGCACAGACAGACTGGAGACTCCATGTCACCTGGGAATGACTTCATTGGCGCGGCCGGCCCACCCCGTTGCCAACCGTGCGTTGCTTCCTGTCTCTGGCCCCCTCCATCGCTGGTCGGTGGACGGTGTATACATACGCGTGGATGGCTCGCTGAAAGAATATTTATCTGTCTGATGAGGTGAAGGTAGTATCTAGCTACCCTCTACATGTGCTATTGCTATATCACTTGCCCTAAGAAAACACCCAGAGCAAGCCGCATATCCCAATTTCGCAACCAAAAACCACCAGACCATGAACCCATAAGCCCATCCTTGGCGCGGCCGACTCCACAGCCCGGGAGGGCAACTTTTTACTACAGTCAAAACGGGCTGTACAGCCGCCCCGCCTCCTCCCCCAGAGCACGGCCGATTTCGCCTGTCTCGTCTTCCCCAACGCTCTAGTTCGAGGGCCTGCGCCAGCTTACTGGGAGCGGGCGGACGGCCACGCACCCGATGTTGACAGGAACCCGTTGACAGGAACCCCGAGCTGGCTCGCAACAGCACAGAGGAACAAAGCCCGCACAGTCAGGGAGCTCCACAGCGATCTGGGGTAATCCCGACGGCAATCAACCGGTCCACACCATAATATTAGCCCCAAGGCCCGTCCCCCCTGGCTGGTGCTTGCTGGGTTCAGCCCGACAGCCCAGACAAAATAAGAAAAAATAAAAACATAAAGCGCCAGTTGCCAAAAACAGAAGCGGACCGCCAGGGCAACGACGCAGCCGCGAATCTACTGCTACCCTGCTGCTACCACAGCACTGAGCACCTCGACCGAGCCCGAAATCTATTTCCGGCCGAGCACAAGGGGGAAATACACAAGGGCCAAATACCACCTCGACAGCGAAGCGACGCGCGATTGAGAGTCTGGCCCGAGAGAGCCGGTTGCAGGAAACGGGAAGGGGAAACCTTTACAACCACAAAGTTTAACGGCCAAGACGAATAAAGTCGGGAGCTCGGGGACAGCGATCCAACGACGGACTGAAACCTCGAATGCATAGGGTTGCCCCAGCCGACAGAACGCCTGCCGGGTGAATCCCGTCTGCTCCACGAGAGTCAACGACGACTCGTCCCTCCCGCGACGCACGCCCAATCGACGACATCAACCACAAAGCCATTGTCGCAGCCCGGAACGGAACGGCGGGCAGAGAAACGACAGCCGCCGCCCCAACGGCTTTTGAGCCCTGCTTGTCCAGGGGCCCGAAAACAATAAAATAAAATAAAGTCGAAAGAGATAATAGAAACGAAGAAAAAGGCCGAGCAGAACAAGAAACACGAGACAATGGATGCGCAGGCGGCGGCAGGGGCGGCGGGCGGTAGTGTCGATGGGGGCGCGAACGGCAACAGCAACGGCGCCGGCTTCAGCAGGAGAGGCAGCTCCAGCTCCAGCATACGCAGCGACTTCATCCCGCTCGTTTCCGTCGTCGACTTCCACCACGCCCGGGGCCCCGAGGTCGAGCATTGGTTCGGCGCCGCCGAGGGCTTCGATCCGGCCGTCGAGTACGACTGGTCCCTGCTACCCTTTATGGCCCTGAGTGACGGCGCGCATGCGTGAGTTTCTCTCTTTCTCTACCTTTTTGCACCCTCACGCACGGCGAGAGGATGATGGCTAGCTAACCTGCTCCCTTTTTTCCGAACCATACCGCCAGCTCGACCGAAGACTTCTCCTACTTCACCCTCCTCCGCCCGGCCACCGAGACGGCGCCCGCGACCTCGCTCTTCGGCATCTCGTGCACGCGCCAGATGGACGCGTCGCTGCTCAAGGTGCGCCCCGCCGACGTGACGCGGTCGACGGTGCAAAAGGCCGTCGTGGTCATCGCCGACGGGCCCCGGTCCTTTGGCATGCTGCGCGAGCGCCTGAGCGTCGTGACAAAGGCCTGGTTCGCCCAGCGCGAGTTCACAGACGTCGAGATCCTCCGCCGCTTCCAGGAGAGCCTCGCGGACGAGAAGGCCAGGGGCATGCTGTCCGACGCCGAGGACCGCGACCAGTACCTCGGCCTCAGCCTGCGCGAGTTCGTGCGCGAGTTTAGGTGGCAGACGCTCGTCCTCTTCAAGTGCTGCTTACTGCAGCCCAAGGTAAGAAGGCCCCGGCCCCCCCCTCATGCCGGCTTGGCCCCCGCAAAGCTAACAAGGCGGACAGATGCTTTTCTTTGGTTCTCGTTGCGAGCGGTTGTGCATGATGCAGTTTTCTCTTATATCATTGATACCCGGCCTTCTCCACAGCCTCCAGGACTGTGCTGGCCCAGAACTTGACAACTACGAGAAGAATTTGACCAGGCCGTCGGGGGTCAAGACTAGCGATCGGAGGTCTCTTCTGGCCTACATGGGCCTACCCCTGCAAATATTCGGCAAGGTTTGTTTCTTTTCTGCCATCCCTTCCTGACTTGAAAAGAGAGCGCACGCCTTGACGCTGGCCGTCAGCGTCATCCGTTGTTTAGGTTCTGACTAACAAAACTCAATGGGAACAGGGAAGTCTCTACGGCCCCTATACGCCCCTCCAGCAGCTCGACATCCTAGCCGACTTCGGCACCAAGTCGTACATAGTAGGGAGCACAAACTCGCTCCTGCTCCAGCAGCGGGATCGCTACAGCGACATCCTCGTCAACCTGGACGACAACTCTGTCAGCATCACCTCCCCTTCGCTCAAGCCGGCGCTGCACCTGTCGTCGGCCGACAAGCGATGGATCGAATCCATCACGGCCGAGGTGAACGAGACGTGGGACGAGTCGAACCCGGGCCGGCCCAGCACCATGGGGTACCGGGGAAGCGAGGAGTCCATCAGGCTGCAGTTCGAGGATTACATCCTGTCACTGCTGGCCGCGGTCAAGGCGCACAAGTGGCAGGTGAAGCACAAGGACAACCCGCGCATGGCGCTCACGCACATCGACAGCGACCCCTCGACCGACTTCAACTCAGAGTGGGTCGACTACTGGATGAAGACGGAGAACTACCGCATATGGGACGCGCACACCGACGACTCCCTCTTCGACATCGCCGAACCCAAGCATCCGTGTGCGAGTGGTCTCAGTCGACTGGCCCAGCAGGTCCAAGATCTTGGCCTGGACGAGCGGTTTGCTGCAGCAGGGGTGGTGGTGGGGCGGGGCGTCGCGGCAGGCCGGGAGAAGGCGTCCTCGCTGATCAGCAGGCTGTACTCGGACGTCGAGGTGCTGCGCGAGGCGCAGAAGAAGAAGGCCGAGGAGGCGGCGGAGCGCGAGAAGAACGGCGGCGGCGACGGCGGCGACGGTGGTGGCCACGGAGACGGCGGCGGCCACCGGCCCATGTCACCACCGCCGTCGGCCCGGTCGTCGGGCCACTGGCCCGGCGCGCCCGCGACGCCCACCACCACTACCACGACGGCGACGGTGGGGTCCAGGGCCGGCGCCTACGCGTCGTCGTGGGCGCAGTGGGCGGGGGAGAAGCGCAAGGCCTGGGCGCGGTCGTCGACGGGCGGCGCGAGCGGCAGCAGCACCCCGACGGCCTCGACGCCAACGGCCGCCAGCAGCGGCGGGTGGAGCCTGGTCGGGAGGAGCAGCAAACGCAACACGAGCAGTAGCGTCGCGTCGTCGATGCTCTCGTCGTCGGACGCGGCCTCGGAGCGCGACTTTACCCTGCGCAGCCCGACCGAGTCGACGACCCCTGCCGCCACAGCAGCGTCGGCGGTGGGGATTGCTGCCATTGGTGGCGCCGCCGCCGCCGCCGCCGCCGCCACTGCGTCTGCAGCCTCGAGCGCCAGTATCGACCAGATTATATCCTCGAACGACGTGGCTGTTTCCGCGCCCACTCCGGTTCCAGAACCACCCGTGGAGGCGCCAAAGGAGGCCGAGAGCGAGGACGAGGAAGAGCAACCCACTCCGGTCCCGAGTTTCCCAATCGTTGAGATGAACAACGTCTGGGCCGAGCCCGACATCCCCGGGCCGGTTGGTTCCAAGATTGTGCTGTTGCCTTAATTCACGAAGGGGGTAGGTAGGCAGGGAAAGCGGGTGACGAATCGGAGATACCCAGCCACGACTTTCAGCCAGTCCAGTTGTTTTTGGAAACATGGGAGCGTGTGTGCTTGATGATACTTTGGGTTGCTTAGTGCGCATGTGGTCGTTTGCATGAGAGGGCAGAAGCATTGGCCTCGGCGGCGTCGTATTGGTTTGCTTTTTTTTTTTCCTTCGTTGGAGCTTTGTGCAAGAGCCGACGATTTTGATGATACCTAAACTGTATACACATTGATTAATGGCCAACTTGGCGGGGTGAGGAGCCTGACTTAGGATAACATGTTCTTTTTATTTTTCGGAATGCTGGGTGTCTGGTGTCTTTGGATGGATAGAGCAAGGTGTTGATTATCTCGGCACTTGCACAACTCTCAAAGCTCACTCAGATACTCGAGGTGTCGCGACTCGACGATACTGGTGTCCCTTGATGGCCAAGCAGGGGCTGCCAAAAGGGTGTCCAGGAATTGCGTCTGACTGGCCAGACATGCCCCAGGCGGGGCAACGGCAGCTGCCCCTGAGAAGCTGAATGGGTGGCACATCAATTGGACAGCAAACCCCTGTCACCAGCTTGACATCAGCATTTTGTCGCAAAGGACACTTGCTGGCTGACGAGAGGAAAAAAAGGGCATCGAGGAAAACAGCCAGCCGGGACGCGACGGGCACCGACCGCGCATCGCCTCGTCCTTTCTTGCCAGAAATACACTCACCACTCCTTCCCACGAGAATCACTGTAATTACCACGTCTGGGCGCCGCTCCTTCCGCCCTCGTTGCGCTTTGTCGATTTGCGCTCGAGGCCACGATCCGCGCCCACCGCACCACCCCGCCGGAAAGCCGGGCTCAGGCAGACGCTCCACGCAGCCCACCCTGCCATCGCCGCCCTCTTTCTCCAGCTCCCAACAGCTGCATCGCGTACCAACCGCCAGACTTCTAGGCCAGGCATCAGTCGACCAGGTGTCCAGCATACTGTACCTGGTATCTATACCGTACCAGCAGAGCACTAGCGAGACCCGCACAAATCGAGTCCGCAAATCGAACCCCCTCCTCCCGGGCGTTCCGGCCTGCTGCCACGATGGCGCGACACTTCTCGCGCGCCAGGTTCCTGGCTGTCGCGGTGGTGTTCCACGTCGTCTACATCCTGTCCATCTTTGACATTTATTTTGTCAGCCCCATCGTGTCGGGCATGCGCCTCTTCCAGATCCCAAGGGAACCCACAGCTCGCGCACCCGCCGACCGTTTGGTTCTTTTCGTTGGTGAGCGCGCTCCCCGACCTTCCGAGGCGGCTGGGGCGAGAGAGGCACGGCCGGTGTGGTGACGTGGGGCAGGAGGGCAAGGTTGCGCACGGGAACTCCGTGGCTATGCGACGCGATGCTGACCAGGGTTGCGCTACCCCCTCCTCGCAGGCGATGGCCTCCGCGCCGACAAGGCCTTCCAGTCCTTCCCCGAACCGTACCCCAAGACGGACGCCGACCTAACGCCGAGGCCCCTGGCGCCTTTCCTGCGGTCACGCGTGCTAGAGCATGGCACGTTCGGGGTGTCGCACACGCGGGTGCCCACCGAGTCGCGCCCCGGCCACGTCGCGCTGATCGCCGGGCTGTACGAGGACGTCTCGGCCGTTACTACCGGCTGGAAGCTCAACCCGGTCAACTTCGACAGCGTCTTCAACCGCAGCCGCCACACGTGGAGCTGGGGTAGCCCCGACATCCTGCCCATGTTTGAGCAGGGCGCCGTCCCCGGCCGCGTCGACGCCGACATGTACGACGCCGCCTTTGAGGACTTCTCCAAGCAGGACGCCTACCACCTCGACACGTGGGTCTTTGACCACGTCAGGGACTTTTTCGCCGAGGCCCGCCGCAACGCCACCCTCGCCGCCCGCCTGCGCCAGGACAAGATCGTCTTCTTCCTCCACCTGCTCGGCATCGACACGGCCGGTCACGGCTTCCGTCCCTACTCCAAGGAGTACCTGCACAACATCAAGGTCGTCGACGAGGGCGTCAAGGAGATTACGGCCTTGATAGAGGACTTTTATGCCGACGACCGCACCGCCTTCGTCTTCACCGCCGACCACGGCATGAGCGATTACGGCAGCCACGGCGACGGCCACCCCGACAACACCAGGACCCCGCTGGTGGCCTGGGGCTCTGGTGTTGCCAAGCCCGTCCTGCACCCCGCCGGTGCCGTCGTGCCCGGCCACGATGAATACTCTTCAGACTGGGGCTTCGATCAAGTACAGCGTCACGACGTAGCCCAGGCCGACGTCGCCGCTCTCATGTCCTTCCTGATCGGCGTCGAGTTTCCAGCCAACTCGGTCGGCGAGGTGCCCCTGCCCTTCCTGTCTGCCCCCATCGCAGAGAAGGCAGAGGCCGCACTGACCAACGCGCAGGGCATCCTGGAGATGTATCGTGTCAAGGAGGAGATCAAGCGGGCGGGGGAGCTGCGCTTCCGCCCGTTCGGCCCGTTGCGCGGCGAGGAACACGGCGGTGGTCGCGTCGCCGCAGAGCGTGTGGCCGATATCCGGAAGCTGTTGGATGATGCCCGGTACGAGGAAGCCATCGAGGAGTCAGCGGCCCTGGTCCGCGTGGGGCTCGAAGGCCTCCGCTATCTCCAGACGTACGACTGGCTCTTCCTCCGCGCTCTCATCACCATTGGCTACCTTGGCTGGATGGCGTATGCGCTGACCACGGTCGTGGACGCGCACGTACTGCATGGGCGCGTGGCTCCCGCGAGGGATGCGACCGGCGTCGTTGTCTTCTCGTCGGTGCTTCTGGTACTCTACGCCTCCTTCATCATGTCGGGCTCGCCGCCGACCTACTACGCATATGCCTTCTTCCCCGTCTTCTTTTGGGAGGAGATCTATGCTCGGCGCCAGAGCCTCGCCGAGGGCCGGCGGGTGCTGTTCGCGCACATCAAACCCGGCGCGAGCCTGCTGTCGTTTCTCATCAACACGGCCATGTACATTGGCGTAATCGTGTCTCTGGTAAGCACAGCTGTTAGTCGCTGGGGGCTTGGCTGGCTGGAAAACTGCAGTCTGGTTCGACAAACTTTATCTAACAAGACGTCCAGGCGCTCGGCTACATCCATCGTGAGGTTCTTACGGGCATTTACATCGTCGGTTCGTTCTGGCCGGCCACCTATGGGCTGGGATTCTTGCGAGAGCACGCGACTCTTTCCGTCACTTGGTTCATCTCTTGCCTGGCCATGAGCACTTTTACTCTGCTGCCGGCCATGAAGCTGGAGGACTTGAACCTCATGTAAGCAGATCCCTCATCGAGATGGTCATGGTGATGAACCACTGAGCTTGCGTACTGACAGAAGCTGTCTTTCGCCTACCAGCCTTGTCGGCGGCGCCTTGATGGTGGTAACCGGCGTCGCATACCTGGTTTTCGAGAATTGGGTTCTGTCCGACTTCTCATCTTCCAAGACGACGACAGTATCCCATGTCGGGCGCCCCATCAACCGGTCTCTGGTAGGCGCCCAGGTAGGACTTGTCATGCTCTCCATGTTGATTACCCGGTCCAGCGTGCTATCCTTACAGGCTAGACAGGGCCTACCTCTCGGGAATCAGATGGCTGGGCTGTTTGTTCTGTGTGAGTAGCGGTTGAGCAATCCGGTCCTCTCCCTCTGGGCGCGATGCTTACATGAGGCCATAGTCACATCCCTCTTTATGCCTGTGGCGTATAGGATACAGCCCAACAACCACTACTTGCATCGCCTTGCTGTCATCTTCCTCACATTTGCACCTACTTTTGTTATTCTGTCCATCTCATATGAGGGCATTTTTTACGTGGTTTTCAGCGTCACGCTGGTGGCATGGGTGCGCCTAGAGCACGCGGGGCACACCTACACCCTACAGCCAGGGACCCCCGAGGCCACCAACGGGCACGCGGCCACCACGACGGCCGCGACGGGCACGCAGGGCGCCAAGGCGGAGGCGCCATCCAAGTTCCGGCCGCTCATGGTCAAGGACGCGCGGGTGGCGCTCTTCTACCTCGTGCTCATCCAGTCGGCCTTCTTCAGCACGGGCAACGTGGCTTCGGTGTCGTCCTTCAGCCTCGAGAGCGTGAACCGGCTACAGCCCGTCTTCGACCCGCTGACGCAGGGGGCGCTCCTGATGGTCAAGCTCATGGTGCCGTTCGCGCTCGTGTCGGCCAACGTGGGGATCCTGAACCGGCGGCTCGGCATAACACCGTCGGCGCTCTTCATGGTCGTCGTGGCCGTCAGCGACGTGCTGACGCTCTACTTCTTCTGGGTCGTCAAGGACGAGGGGTCGTGGCTCGAGATCGGGTCCACTATCAGCCACTTCTTCATCGCGAGCCTGCTGTGCGTGTTCCTGGTGCTGCTCGAGGGCGTGAGCGCGCTGTTTGTATCCGGCGTCGAGGTGGCGGGAACCGAGGGCGCGGCGGGGGAGAGCAAGGGGGCCGTTCGGCAAGAAAAGGAGGAGGAGCAGGCACTGTTGGCTGGCGATGACGAGGTGGCTACGATGCCTGCTGCCGCCTCTTTGGGGGACGACGAGGGCGCGAGCGCTGCCGAGGGGATGGGGGATGAGAAGAAAGAGGGGGCTAATGAGGGGGCGGCGGTCGTCGAAGACGCGGTAGTCGTCGAGTAATCACGGGGTGACGTTTGGATCACGGTTGTTGATCGCATTCTTCCTTTGTTTTTGTATACTGCGAAGAGAGCGCGGGTAATGACGAATAAAAACACATGAGTATTGAAGCTATTTTTTTTTTTTCGCCTCTTCTAGCCCGGGGATATATCGTCCATTCTCTTGTCGCTTTTCGGCCTGGTTATTTCAAGTCATCCGGCGGGAATCGCGGCATCTCTAGCAAGGCTTGGGCAAAGCCTCCATGTCCTCGCACGCATGTCACGCCAAACTCTGCCCGTCTTTCGCGCGGCATGCATGGATGGACTCGTCATTATTTGCCGCGGTCGCTGGGACAAAGGGGGGAGGGCACAGTCTGCCGCTCACTAGCCACCCCCTCCTCGACAGGGCGACAGGCTAGCGAGGTCATGACCCTTGGCTCTTGGCGCGAGGGAGGGAGTGGCTAGTCAAAGGGGCGCTTGTCAAGTAGTTGTCATGCTTGAGAAATCCGATTTTTGGTCACACCCTGATGGGAATCGCGTCTGAGTCAAGCCTGAACAATCAAAAAAGGGGTGGGGCGTGGGTTTCCTTCCCATTTGCGATTTTTACGCGAGGTTCCCCCAGATTTTCGATTTTTACGCTCCCGCGCATCCGAAATCGATGCCAAGGAAACGAGTCCATCTTGGCGGGCTGCAAGGGAAAATGCGTGGGTTGCAACGAAAAGCAAAAAACGAACTGGTGGAAGGAAGTCGAGGGGCGTGGGCAATTCGAGACGCTATCGATAATGTGTGCCACCTACCAACTCGGGACGAGCCAAAGTAGAGGAAGGTCAACTTCAAGGGGAGGAAGCCCGAGAAACATGTTCTTGTGCTTGGTGCCGAGACGTGTCCAGCATGTGATTGCGACAAGGCTCAACCCCAGCCATGTTGGACATCTCGCATTCTGTTAAGTCCAAGGGGGGCCAGCACCAGACAGGCAGGCGACGAGGACGGGCCAAGACCAATGGGCCATGGGATCAATGGTGAAGCCGCCAGCCCAAAAGCAAAACGCCAGCCGGGCATGGCTGGGGCCGTATCGCGTATTTGCTGGCGGTGGACTGTGTACTAGTATGCCCGTGTTGGGAGGGGGTTGCTCGGGTCTGTATAGAGTATAGAGGGCAGAGTAGAGATGAAAGAGAGATGCAAAGCTATTTGCAGCAAAATGCAGCCGAGGCCAGCCTTGTGGCCTCGACAGTGAAGACCGAATCGCGTCTCGCAGTGACACTCGGGATGCTTGCAGGGGCCACCACCCTTATTTCTATTGTTAGTCGGCCGACCCATTGATGCGCGTTTACCGTTTTCTCACCGACCAGCCCAGGAAGGAACTGACGTGCCACGCATCGAGGCCGTTCAGTACCCGCCCCCTTGCACGTCCCACGCCCGCCCGCCAGGGAGTAGGCACAACCTGGAACAAATTCGACAATTTGACTGATCGCTCCACCACTTTTTTTTTTGTGCTGCGTGCCATTGATCACAAGAAAAACACCACCCAAAAAAAAAAAAAAGGGTGTTTGGTTGGTGTGTTAGGTCATCTTTGTGCTCACGCCAGCACCCCCGTTTCGTGCTCGGGCTCGTCCAAAATTCTGAGCAATTCTTAGCACCACCACCCAGCACCGCAGCCAACAGCCCGCGTGCTAGCTCTAGCTCCTCGGCCAGCTGCCTACTCGCATGCCTGGCAGTCCTCTGTGCTCCATCCCTTGCCGCGCCGAACCGTGCCTGCCCAGCAACAGCCCCGCGCCTCGATCTATCCATCGCCGCCCGGCCGCCTCGAGCCATTCCATTCCCCGACGACGCCGTTGTCTGTCCCGAATCATCGCCAAACCGTGTCGCCGACTCGACCGAAACAACGCCATTTGTCCCTCGTCGCCTCGGTAGCTCCTGTGCCCGCTAGGGGCCACGGCCACCCCTACCGCTCCACTAATCCCCTTCCATCGCCACCACCCCCTATTCTGCGCGACCCCTTTCTCGACGCCCTTGTTGCTGCAGCCCTCGACGTCGATACGGCCCCGTTACACGTTCGCCTCAGCTGGTCTGGCATCGGCTAGGTAGGACTCTCGCCATGTCGTCGCTGGAGGAGCAGGAGTCGTCGGCACCCACAGTCGCAACCACAACCGCAGCCGCGCCCGCGCAGGCACCAGCAGCTCCGGCGCCAACAACACAGGCGCCGGCCGACGCGCAATCACAGGCGTCGCAGTCCCCGAGCGCGCCGTCGTCGATCAACATCCCCACCAACAACCCGTCGCACCCGAGCTTCAGAAGGTTTGGACTTACCCGCGCGAACCCCGACCACCAACTTCCCCGCTCGGTCCGGGACGGTTGACGCAGCACACCCCCTTGGCAGACACACGCAGAGGCTGACTTTGCCATGATTTCTCGGTACTGCACCCTGTTAGACAACGAGCATCCAGAGCGTGCGAGGTATGTGGGCACGCTGCGGACCTTCTTATACCCTGCAGGACCGGGAGGGTTGGGTGCCCGTCGGCGCGACGCTGTTGGTCGAGCTCCATTTGAGCCGAGGCATCTTTCTGCCCCTTCCAATCCGCCGCGACACCAAAAAAAAAAAACCACACGACCGACGGGCGGGGGGCCACCCTCCGGGCCGAGGCACCCTCACGCCATGATGCGTATATTCTCAAGTCGTAACGTCAGTCGCTGACCTCTCTCGTCTCCCGCCGCCCATCCAGACATGCCACGCTCGAAAGGTACCGTCCTTCCCTGCGCCCAGCCCCATGGTCCAGCTGGCTCGACGATGCGCCCCGCCCGCGCTCAACGCCCCACCCCGCCTACCATAGCGCGGTGGAGGAAGCTACGGCTCTTGCTAAGCCCACCACCACCACCCCTCCAACATCCACCAGCTGTTCCGACCAGGCCGAGCTCACAATGTTGCCCGTCTCTAGGTCCGATGCGATGCCGCAAGCCTCGGCGTCCCGTGCACCAACTGTGTGGCCTTCCAAATCGAGTGTCGCATCCCATCGCCCAAGAGGAAGAAGGCCCAGCCCGCCGCCGCCCAATCGCAGACTCAGTCTAGGGATTCTGACAGGTATGCGCCGCACCGGCTCCTGTCATCGCCCACCCCCCTCCGCGGCTGAAACGGCCAGCTGCTCGATATCCTCGTGCTAGCAGACGCTAACCTGCCCCCGACTCGACTCTTCCCCGCCATGACGCCCACAGCGAACGTGAGCGAGATGCTGGCGACGAGTCCCCTCACAGCACCAGCGGTCCCACCGCTCCCAACTTCACCCGCCCTGCTGCCGTCTTCCACAGCAACGAGGGTACCCCAAGCACCGCCCTCAGTGAGGTCCAGAATAAGGAGATCGAGACTTCCCAGAATAACTACCTGGACATACTCATGAGGCCGCGCTTCACGAGAGCGCCCATCAAGGAGGCGGGCAGGGTTGCCTTCCTGGGCGAGTCGTCCAACCTGATGCTCCTGGTGCACGACCGACAGGGCTCCGACTCGGACGTGGTCCACTACCCCCTGCCCGACAACGTCAAGGGCTCCCGGGCCAGGCTTACCGAGCTGGACAATGTCGAGATCGACATCCTGCACCAGCGCGGCGCCTTCCTGCTGCCGCCCAGGTCCCTGTGCGACGAGCTGATCGACTCGTACTTCAAATGGGTCCACCCCATTGTGCCCGTCATCAACCGGACCCAGTTCATGAGGCAATATAACGACCAGAAGAACCCGCCCTCGCTGCTCCTGCTCCAAGCCGTCCTCCTCGCCGGCTCGCGCGTCTGCACCAACCCCAAGCTGATGGACGCCAACGGCTCTGCTGCCCCCGCCGCCCTGACGTTCTACAAGCGGGCCAAGGCTCTGTACGACGCTAACTACGAAGACGACCGGGTCACCCTCGTGCAGGCCCTGCTGCTCATGGGCTGGTACTGGGAGGGCCCGGAGGATGTCACCAAGAATGTCTTCTACTGGACCCGCGTCGCCACCGTCGTCGCCCAGGGCTCGGGCATGCACCGGAGCGTCGAGGGCTCGCAGCTCAGCCGCGCCGACAAGAAGCTGTGGAAGCGCATCTGGTGGACCCTGTTCACGCGCGACCGTTCAGTCGCCGTCGCCCTCGGCCGCCCCGTCCACATAAACCTGGACGACTCCGACGTCGAGATGTTGACCGAGGACGACTTTGTCGAGGACGAGCCCAACAGGCCGAGCGAGTACCCGCCAGACGAGCGTCACGTGCAGTTCTTCTTGCAGTACGTGAAGCTGTGCGAGATCATGGGCCTGGTGCTCTCCCAGCAGTACTCGGTCGCGTCCAAGGGACGCCAAAAGAACCCCATCGACTTGACGCACAGCGACATGGCGCTGGCCGACTGGCTGCAGAACTGCCCCAAGTCGGTCTACTGGGAGATGCCCCGACATCACTTCTGGTCCGCGCTGCTCCACTCCAACTACTACACGACCCTCTGCCTGCTGCACAGGGCGCACATGCCGCCGAGCGGCTATCGGAATAAGTTCCCCGAAGACAGCGCCTACCCATCCCGCAACATCGCGTTCCAGGCCGCTGCCATGATCACATCAATCATCGAGAACCTCTCGGCCCACGACGAGCTGCGGTACTGTCCGGCCTTTATTGTCTACAGTCTCTTTTCGGCCCTGATAATGCACGTTTATCAAATGAAGTCGCCCGTGCCGACGATACAGCAGGTCACGCAGGACCGAATACGAACATGCATGCAGGCGCTCAAGGACGTCTCTCGAGTGTGGCTTGTGGGGAAGATGGTGTGGACTCTGTTCCAGTCCATCTTGGGCAACAAGGTGCTGGAAGAGAGGCTACAAAAGGCGGCTGGCAAGCGACATAAAAAGGCGCACCAGGCGTTTGCGCAGTTGGATCACCACGCAGCCCAGCAACAGCAACAGCAACAGCAACAGCAACAGCAACAGCAACAGCAACATCAACATCAACATCATCATCACCATCAGCAACAACAGCAGCCGCACCACCACCATCAGTACCAGCAACAGTCACAGTCGGCAGGACACCACGACTCGAAGCACCACGACTCGAAACGTAAGTACGACGAGATGGCCATCGACTTCAATGTCACCACGCCGCAGCCCCAGGAGTCATATGTGCGGTCACGGCCACAGACGCCATGCATGTCAACCGCGAACAAGCCTGAGTTCAGCAACAATAGCCACAACCACAGCCACAGCCACAGCAACAGCAACAGCAATAGCAATAGCAACAACGCGATGCCGCCGCCCATGATGTCGCCAAACTCGAGGCAGGTCGACGCATTCATGGGAGGGACGGGGTCGCGACCGCACACGAGGCCGGCGACACCCTTCAACCCATCAATGTCGATGCCGACGACGCCACCGGACCTCTATCTGGTGACGCGCAACTCTCCGAACCTCTCGCAGGCCATATGGGAGAACTTCCAGCCCGACCAGCTGTTTCCCGAAAGCGCGCACATGCCAGCCTTTGCGTCCCAGACGTCACCGGCACAGGGCCAGCAGACGCTAGACCCCGGTCTGATGGCGCATTTCCAGCAGCAGGTTCAGCAAGACTCGGGAGCAGGAGCAAGCGGTTCGGACCAGTTTGGCGGACAGCTCGACACCTCGGGCGCTGCCAGCAACGGCAAAGCTGGGTTTGCCGGCACAACAAGCCCGCTGCAGACCCCGATGCAGCCAGGAAGCGCATTCGTGCAGCAGTCGGCCACCGCGGGAGGGCTGCCGGCAGGCTTCTGGACCCAGTTTGACACGCCCGGGCAGCAGCAGCAACAGCAGCAGCCACCGCAACCGCTGGATGGCCAGAGCCCAGACAGCTGGGGCTCGTCGTCTGCCCAGGGAAGCGGAGGGCCCGCGGTACCCTCCACCCTCAACGTGGAAGACTGGTGCGTACTTGCTTCTGACCCACACTTTTCTTGTCGGGTCCCCCTGCTAACAAGACATCCCTGCCATCAGGTTGCAGTTTTTTGGCATCAGCGGGGGTGGTGAAGCGATTAATATTGACTTTGGGTCCTTGGTATGAGTTTTTTGTAGTCTGCCTCGGCGTTTTAGGGTGTGTTTATGGTGATGGACACAAGCGCACCTGCCGAGGAACGTGTTTTTGTTAATGTTTCTGCCGAGGTTGATTTTGCCTTCTGTCAAGGAGCCTTTGTTAAACTGCGGGCGTTAGGATCACGAGTTAGGGCATAGGAGGGTACGTGGCCCGAGCTCCCCTTTTCTCATTCTCTTTCCCATCGAAGGCAGCCGACATCTCCAACGACAGAAAATTCCGACGTGCGATTCTGATTTCCGCAATCCATCAAATCCATTAAACCCATCTCATTCCTATCAAACCCACATCCTCACGCGCCCCCGAGGCGAGTGCTCGGGTTTAGGCGCCTAATGAGCACAAACCAGAAACCTCCGAAGTATTTGCCACTAGTCGTTTCAGCCCTGCATAGCCAGTGATCAAGTAGAAAAACGCGTTGAGGAAGTGAGGCTGTTTAGGGCAGCCAATCGGCCTTCTACTACATGTGCGCCCGGTGGCACTTAAACAGGGCAACTTAAAACACAGCAAGGCCTATTTAACCAGGCCCAACCCCTGTGCGCCCCTGGTGAAATGCTGTATCTTCGCCCATATTTTACAGAAATCGAACTCCCCAGCCGCTTGCTCTTAACCAACCACACACCATGCCACTTTGCGACAATTGCAAGAAAATCTTCCGCGGCCGCCAGCGCATCATCGAGTATAACCCGCCCCTGGAACGCCCCGGCGGCGTGGCCGGCCTGTTGGGTGCCTGCAAACAACTTCTCCGCCTTTCGCCTAGCCCCAAAGCTTCCGCGACGAGGCAGATACATCACCGCATGTTTGCCGAGATCTGGAAATCTGCTTCGAATGGTTGCTTCTTTTGTTGCGAGCTACGCGCTAGCTTCCTGCCACCTGGGCAGGATGCTCGTCTACTTCCTCAATCCTCGGAGTTATACGCTTTCTCCATAACTTTGTCGAGGCTCAATAAAAACCCGGCTATGTGGCCCCAAGGAACACTACATCTCGACACCAGGCTACCGGGAGATCCCAATTCAAACACGTGCTGGGATTTTCTACTGCCTCCAGAATGTAAGGCAACCGTTTTCCAACGCATTTCAAAACACCACTCCTAATGCGTTCTGTCCAGATTCCGCAAACTATATCGAGGGCTACATGTCACCCCGCTCTCCTTTCCAAGCAAAACGCGCAAAACGGTGGCTCCAGAATTGTCTAAACAATCATGAAAATTGTTGTTTATCACACTCTAGCATGGACTGGGAACTTCCCACTCGACTCCTTCACATTGGGAAGCCAGCACTCGACCAAGTTGCCCTGGTTAATACAAAGGATTTACCCGCTCCAGTGTTGAATGGCGTTCAGTACGCAACCTTAAGCCACGTTTGGGGCAAATCGCATACGTTACGACTTACATCATCGACCAAAGAACTCCTTCAAAAAGGGATCCGGACTTCCAAACTGGGCCGCACTTTCCGAGACGCCATTACTTTTGCTCAATCTATAAACATCGAGTTCATCTGGATTGACTCCCTCTGCATTCAACAAGACCTTGCCGAAGATTGGAAGCAAGAGGCACCCCGGATGGCCGACGTTTACGGGGGCTCATTCCTTAACATCGCAGCTACAGCGGGGTCCGATACAAACGCCGGGCTCTGGAAACGGGGGCACACATACGCTAACCTCGAGCCACCTGTAGTTTCGCTCAAGGGAACTCCGTTCCCTAACGGAAGATATCTCTTCCGCGACCGGCACTACTTCGAGAAAGCCTTCACCGGCGATACGGCGCCGCTTATTACGCGAGCTTGGGTCCTTCAGGAGCTGTTTCTAGCCACGCGCACCCTGCACTTCTTCGAGCACGAGATGTTTTGGGTATGCGGCGAGCAGACGGCGTCCGAGACCTTCCCGCCCGGCGTCCCGCCCGGCATCCCGCCCTTAGGCACCTGGGATTACTCGATTCCCAAACCGCTCGTCATGAAAGTCATGCAGCACTTGCTACAGGCGAAAACAATCACACAACACCGCGAGGGAAACGGACAGCAAACACCCGTGGAAACGCCAAACCAGCTGCTCATAGATATATGGGACGCTACAGTTAGGATCTACACCAAATGCAACCTCACGTACAAAACAGACAAGCTAGCCGCGATATCTGGCATTGCCAAGCTGCTCCAAAAAGCCTTCGGGGTGGAATATTGGGCGGGACTCTGGAAGGAAGACATTCTCCTTTCCTTGTTATGGGTTGTCAAGGATAAAGCCGGCGCCCTCAATTCGGACAAAACATACCCTGCTTCACCATACCGAGCCCCCACCTGGTCTTGGGCTAGTTTGGATGGCCCGATCCTCGCCAGGGGAGAAGACCTTGATAGCAAACACACCCCAGTCGGGAAGATCCTCGAGTGCCACATTGAGACCAACGATGCCGACGACGTCACTGTCGGCATCGTCGGAGCTCGTATGCGCATTGCGGGTTGGCCCATAACCGTTATTACGCGAGACGGGGCCGAAGGAGATGTGGGCCTTGGTTTCTTCGTCAATGGCGACAAAACTAAGAGGACACATTACAGCTCGATTTCTCTGGACAGCAACGTCGTCCCCACCGACCGCATCGTTGCCTTCCCGTTGGTGTGGGAACACAGTTTGCTCGGCAACTCCTACTTGAAAAGTCTGTTACTTTACCCAGTTGAAGGTATCCGGAATCATTACTACAGGATCGGAACCTGGACAGCGGACTTTCGGATTTTCGGCCTCACGAATGATAACCCGATTGGAGAGAAGCTTTGCAAGTTTAAAAACGCCCCCTGGTTAGAGTACGAGTCCAGGGACGCGGAAGGCAGGTGCACAATCGTCGTTGTTTAAACGAAAGCCCCGGGTTAAGGCCATCAAGGACGTGTCGCAAAACAAAACATCACCAACTAGTATGCCAGGGCTTGGTAGCGGAGGCCCGCACCAAGCCTCCGGGCACGGCACCGGAAGCGCGGTAGTGGATACCGCGCCCAGGAGGACAGGGGTTTAGGCGGCTATATAAGAATAAGGAGTGTTAGCTAATAGTGGCGAAGGTACCCAATGGTGGCGTATGGATATATCGGCTGATTCTGGGTGGCAAAATGAAAAGGGGCAAAATCGGTGCACAACCCAAAATCTTTGTGTACATTCACGAGAACAGCGAAAAAAAAAGAAAAAGAAATACAAAACAATCTTCTTGTAAGAATAGCAAATATTCGAACACCCCCCTTTTTTCCGTTTCTGCTTGCTCCATCGACAAGATACACCCTCAATATTCCCGCCTTGATTCTGCATCTTGATGTCACCGAGAATGTCGACCGTTTCGCGTGAAGACGCTCCTGCATGCACGTGATGTGATGAATCGCCGCACCTTGTCAGGCGGGGTCCCCGGCTCCTGCCTTGACGCTCCGTCTCACAACAGCCCGCGCGAGTGTCCGTGCGCCCACAGCTTCTCGTTTGTTTACATTGAGCGGGAGTGGACCAGTCATTTGGACGGATCCTCGAACCCAGAACTCGACCTGCCCTCGTCCCTGGAAAACCGCGGCCTTCGCACAACACCTACCATGCGAAATCACTAACCAAGACAGCTCATTACGGAACCTTTTCTCTCCTTCTTGGATCCTGTTCTTCATTCATGACTGCACTATCCTTCCTCCCGACATCTTAACACCACCGTCGAGCGCGCCGACACGAGACGCGCCCAGTGCCACCACCACCACCCGCCATGGCGATGCGAGGACCGCGTCAACCCGTCGGCTCGGCCGCCTGGGTCGCCGAGGAGAGATCCTCTGCCGTCCAGATTGGTCGCTCAGAGGCCGAAGAGTTCACCTATTCGGTCAGGAATGAGTTCGAATGGCTCAACGAGCACATGGCCGGCATCTTCGACGAGAACCAGCAGTCAGTGTCTCCCCGCCGCGCGCGCCAGGACAGGAGCGACTCGTAGCTGACATGGGCCAATCGTGCTCCCGCCAACAGGAACTTCGTCGACGTCTTCAAAACACCAGGCAAGCTACGCGGCCGCACACCGCGCACTGCCAGGAAGCAGCCCAACCCTATCGAATCGCGAGCGGTAAGCGCCAACCACAACGCATCAGTCCATGGTGTGTTTGATGTACTGACTCCGCCGCCTTCTAGCCTCTGTCCGATATCTTCTCGGCAACGCCCAAGGGCGCACACAACCCCTTCGCCATCGCGAGCCCCAGCAATGGTCAGGCGGCCCCCAAGCTGGCGGTCGCCGGCGACGTGCAGTTCCCTGTTCCCCCCAGCCCGACGCGCGCCAGCCCGCCCAAGGCTGTCCATCCCAGCCCCAGGCCCCCGACTAAACACCAAATGCCGCCTCAACTCCCCCTGGTCGACTCTGGCTACCACGGCAGCCAGTCTCAGGATGCCATGGACATGGATGAGCTTGCGCACGACGAACCCACTCAGGGGGCAACATCACTAGAGTCAGATGCAGTCCACGTAGTGGACACTGACATGGAGGATGTCGCGTCTCCTGCCCCTGCCGATGAGCGCAGTCCGGCGCAGCCGACGTACGACGCGTCCTTCCACTCGGCCCAGGAAGAGCAGAGCAAGACCGCGAGGCCACAGACACCCGAACCACCATATGAGGACAGTCCGCCGTCGCCTGTCGCTGACTCGCCCTCACCCGTTCAACCACCCAAGCCAGCTTCGCCCGTGAAGATGTCTCCGATCAAGGGCGTATCTCCACAGAGGTTACCCCAACAGACTTCGCCCACAAGATCTCCTGCGATAGCGAGGAAACCCGTCCCCGGCGCCGTGGCTGCGGCATCATCTGGTGCTGCTCCCGCCCTCGTCTCGCAGCCCGCCGATGACCAGTCGCCATCTGACGGATCGAGCCCCATCCGGCCCGTCGTTAGGAAGAGCAGTATGAGCTTCGCCTCGCTGCCTGCTCGTGAGCCCCTGGCCACAGGCAAGAGCATTGGTGCGCGCATGTCACGAACCAGTCATCTTGACCTCACCAGGCAGAGCTACTACAACAGGCCTACAGGAGGAAAGAGCCTGGGCAATGTTAGGCATGAGGACGATGACGAAGATCACGATGAGATGGACGTTGATGACGAGACCACTGCCCAACACACTACCGACGTCGGCGTTAAGGTCGCGGCGCACAACAAGACGTACACGCAGCGGCTGCAGGACCAGATCAGCATGCTGGGCAAGTCTCATTCCAGCGGCTCCCGCACCTCCAAGTCCTTTGCGAACCCGTCTGCGGTCGCATCGCAGTCATCCCAAGCTGTCTACGAGGCACACACACCCTCGCCCAAGAAGGTCACCCCCATGGTGGCTACACCGGGAGCCTTCCCCGATGATGATGACGAGGAGGAGGAGGAGGAAGATTGGGTTGTGCCTCCTGTGGCAAACCAGGCTCCTGTCACCTCGAGCCCTAGGCCTGGCATGGCTAAGAGCTATTCGGCGGACGTCATGGAGGGTGTCAGTGGTCCCGAGTTCACATTGCCTAAGCAGCGCCAACCACTCAGCCGTGAGGTATCGCCAAAGAGGCCACTCATTGCATACGCCAAGTCTGCATCGGTGCCGCTCCTGCCGTCCGATGGTCTCGAGCCCGAGGAGCACGAAGTGGCCGGGCACGGGAAATCTATCTCTGTCTCAAACCCGCTGAGCACCGTCCCCGAGGACGAGAACCTGGCCACCCCGAAGTCTCCCTCTCGCACGTTCCGGGACAGCCCCCTGAAGCAGGTCAAGAACAAGCTGTCGTCGATCCTCAAGAGCTCCAAGGGTCTACTCGCTAGCAGCGCCGCAATTAGCGCCGAGAGCAAATCTTCGCTTCTGTCGCCCTCGAGCACCCGTCTGGGCTACCACGCTGGCCCCTCTGTCGATTCCCTTGCGCCCAGGCTTGGCTCAGTTCCCGAAGCGTTGTATCCGGACCTGTCACAGCACATCGCTGCCTGCTCGGGGCCTGCCGCCCGCCAGGGAAGCCCGCAGAGGCCCGCGAGCCCGACTAGGGCACCCACGCGAAAGACCAGGGCCTCGGTGGAGAGGGAGAAGCGGGAGCAGAAGCAGAGGGACAAGGATGCCAAGGAGGCCCAGCGCATGGCCGACCAGATGGGCAAGCTCGAGAAGGCTCGCGACAAGGAGCGGGAGAAGGCCAGGTACTTCAGCAAGGAGCAGGAGAGGGTTGCCATGATGGAGCGTCAGCTGGAAGCCCAGAGGGAACAAGAGAGGGTCGCTGCTGCGCGAGAACGCCAGCTCGAAGCCCAGAGGGAGCAGGAGCGCGCCATCGCCGCACAGAAGCAGGCTGAGGCTGCCAAGAGGCAACAGGAGAAGGAGAGGCAAGAGAAGGAGAGGTGGGAGAGGGAGAGGCTGGAGCAGGAGAGACTTGAGCAGGAGAGGCTTGAGCAAGAGAGGCTCGAGCAAGAAATGCTCGAGCAGGAAAGGCTCGGGCAGGAAAGGCTTGAACAGGAGAGACTTGAGCAGGAGAGACTCGAGCAGGAAGCCCGTGCCCGGCCCGCGTCGCCCGTGAAGGAGACGCCTAGGCCCATGAGGGGTAGCCCCCGTAAGGCGAAGGGACAAGCTTCGCCTGGGCCTTCGGCGTTTGACGACGACATGGATATGGCCGACGCACCCATTTCTATGCCCCCGCCCTCGGTTCCGCGGTCGGTGCAGCCCAAGTCGAACCTGCGACGGCCCGTCAAGCCAACCAAGGAGGCCCCGAACAAGGCACGACAGGCGCCCACCGTCATCCGGGTGAACACGACGTCCCAGCACTCCCAGATGCACCCCTCTAACAGTGTTCTCGCGGCCACCCTCGGGGAGACACTCGGCCCGGCCCACCAGCTGAAGACCAAGGCCAGCGTGGCTTCTCTGCAAGCCAAGCCGTCGATGCAAAGTCTGAAGAGCTCTGTTTCGTCGACCGGACGGCCCAAGGCCCTCGATATGGCGGCTAAGCGGAAAGAGCAGGAGGAACGCGAGGCCGAGCGGAAGCGCGAAGCCAAACAGGAGCTCGAGCGGAAGCGGGAGAACCAGAGACGCCAGGAAGCCGACAGGCAAAAGGAAGAGGACAGGAAACAAGCGGCTGCCCAGGCCGAGGCCAAGAAGAACGCGCAGAGGCAGGCCATCGAGAAGGCCAAGCAGACGCGGGCGCCGCCACCAGCGCAGAGGTCGCAGCAGAACGGCCGACCCGAGTATGGTGCCGGTCCCGCATCGATCCCGCGCCCGCAATCGCGGCTCGACACGGTCATGCGCGGGCAGGACGAGCTCTCGCGGCCAGGCCTTGCAAGCTCAGTCAAGCCGGCACCGAAGCGGCCGATGCAGCAGCAGGACGATGATGGGTCCCGCCAGAACTCGCAACAGAGGGCCGGGCCGTCGTATCAGCCCAAGGAGCAGAAGCGCATCCGTCTGACGGAAGAGTTTGACGTTGACGAGCTGGAGATGGGAGGGGTGATGACGAGCCAGTCGAACATGAAGGCCCCGCCTGTGCGTCCGTCTGGTGGCTTTAAGAAAGTGAGTCTGGCCCCGGAGCCTTGTCCGTACGTTGCAACCGATCCGTCTTCTAACCAGCTGTTCCTTCAGGACCTGCCAACCAAGGCGCTCTTCCCCAACGGCTACACCAGCATCACCTCGCAGAACGCGACCAGGGATCTGTTCAAGACCACCGTCACGTCGCAGCACAACAACCAAGTCAAGGCGGCGCACCCGCTCGACATGGCACAGCTTTCCAAGGGTACCATCCCATTTGCGTCCAACCCGAACTCTACCGCCGGCCCGTCGACGCACAAGACGCCAGCTCGTCCCATGGGTCAATCCGCCAAGTCGGCGGCCAAGTCTGCCGCGCGGTCGTCACCGCGTCTCCAGCTCAACAACGGCGACGCAATCGAGCTTCCCGACATTCAGACGGATGAGGAGGACAGCGACGAGGAAGAGGACAACATGACGGTGGCGCCCTGGGTCAACTCTCCCGATCTGCGCAGGGCCCTGATGCGGCAGGAGTCGATCGACCCTCAGAACGTGTTTGGCCCGCCGGCGCCGCTCAACATGGAGGAGGTCTTCAGCCGCAACAAGGAACGGTGGCACAAGTTCCGCCAGCGAACCAGCAGCGCCAACTGGAGCGGTGCCGACAAGCTTACCGAGGAGGACATCCGCAAGGACCTCGCGGCGCGGGAGAAGATCCGGCGCGAGGGCGGGTGGTCGTACGAGCTCAGCAAGGAGACTCTGTGAAAAGTTTGTTAGCGAGAAGTTTTGGTGCACATCTTGGAGTATGCTTTGTTTTTTGTTTTTTTTTCTTGAAGGGGAGTGGCACCATGACGACATTGGGCTTTTATGAGGAGTTATGGTTGGGTTCTTATTATATTACTACATTGGGTTGGGGTTCTACTCGGGTTTTCTTGTCGGTCTCGCACTTGTTACCAAAAGATGCTGCATGATGCGCCTCTTTTTGTCTCTTAATGTTTGTCGGACTTTTCGGAATTATATCCCATCATCGCCTCGGTTCTCAGACCGTACCAAGGCGCGAATATGAACAGTCACAAGAAGCAAGACATGAGGTGTTTGCCGCTGCGTTTCAATGAGGTTCCAATTGGTGAGATGGCAACTTGACGGGTTTCTTGAGGATCACGACTGGTGCCTACTTCTTACCCGCCGAATATGGTTGCTCATAATCTCCATCATCCGACTGCTCCGAAGTCTCCTGGCTGATGACGTTTTGAGTCACCGGCCCCGAGGATTCTGGTTCAGTGGTGGCTCTTCGGGCTGAGTGATGTCGCATGCTCAGCAGCGTCCGTGGTGGCCATCCAACCAGGATGCGGAACATGGCTTTCCCCCCAAAAGAACCCCCATCCATCCCGCAGCCCCAGCCTCAAACAATACAGGGGAGGGGTGGGTGGCGTGCACGAGAACAAGACGCGCGCGAGAACAAGACGTGCGCTAAAAGCAGGTAGAATGCATGCAGCAAAAGCGCGACCCAGCCACCCCAGCTTCGAGCCAGGTAGGTATGCGAGCTGACGTGTTGTATCCTGCCATTCCGTACGGGTAGTGGTAGTGGACGAGGGGGGAGGGGCCTTGGTTGAGGCGGCCCTGCGGCGTCACCAGCTGCAGTCTTCAACGGGAGGACAGGGCTGCAGCGGGGTTGTCACGAATGGGAAAGGGAAATGGGGCTTGTGGCTTTTCTTTTCTCTTTCGGCTGCGGCGATATGAGAGTGTGTCGGCCTACCTTAGTTGTCTGGGGTCGCCTTGCTTTTTCTGTCGTGGGGGACCCAACACCGCATATCAGGGTGAGTTATATCCGCAGCCCGCTCCTGCCGAGCTGGATGGGGGTTGCTGTTGGGCTGAGAGGTACTTGGGTGCTGAGGTAGGTAGAGACATGGTGAGAGAGCGAAAGCAGAGAAAGTGGCTGGGAGCAGGTTGCCAAGGATGTAGTTGGCGTTTTCTGTCTAGTTCTATCCGCTGCGGGAATTGAAAGCCTCCCCGTTGTTTTTGTTCCTGTTTCAACGTGCAGCCCACGGGAAACGGCATGCGATACAAGACACAGCACATGTGCGTCATTTTGTCACTGGACAAGGGTTTTGTTTTGGGGAGCACTGGGAGCAATGCTGCGTTGCCTGGGACAAGCGGCGGGGCCCCAGAAAGGCTCGTTTGTTTTCTTTCGTAGCGCCCTTTTAGGCCCGTGTCTCCGATACTTTGATCTGATAACACGAGCACAAACCCGACACTCGGGTATTCTGACCGCCCTGTGCCTGCTACTGACGTAAAAAAGCACGAGGCCTCAGTGTTGCTTGCTATTGCACTGCAGCTCAAGGCTCAACTCGAATGAGCGGCACCTAGGAAACCAGACCCCCACAAAAATATAGCCTCGACTCCGCTCAGCTCACTGCGGCCTCAACCCCACTCTTGCCTTTTTCTGCAGGTGCGCCCATCGCTCTTGTCTCGGCTGGTGATGCTCATGTGCTCTCGGCCCAGAGCTGCAACAACACCAAGACTCTGCCAGGCATGCCAAACACCTGCCCGCCACCCTCTCGCCCGCTCTCGCATCGCGGCCTGCTCGCCGCCGTCTGCCACCTCCAGCTGTAGCCTCATTCAATCAACCTCGCGCAACAGACCAGCCTTGCTTCTCCTGCCGCCGACCTCTGCCAGCCCGCGCTGCCGCAGAGCAAGCCGGTCACCATGGTCAAGGCAGACTACAACCGCGACTACTACGCGGACCTGGATCTGCCCCAGACCGCCGACGTCAACGATGTCAAGAAACAATTTAGGAAGCTCGGTACGCTGCCTGGGCCCGCATCCGCACCAGAAAGTCGTGCCTCGCACCGTTCGCTGACAAGCGCCTCACACAGCCCTCAAGTACCATCCCGATCGCAACCCCGGCCGCGAGTCTGAGGTCAATTCCAAGTTTCAGACCATCCAGACGGCCCACGAGATTCTCGCCAGCCCCGAGTCCAAGGCCAAGTACGATGCGAACCGTGCTCGGTCTGGTCGCTTCCCGACCTCGTCTGGCGTGCGGGGCAACCCGTGGCAGGATATCGGCAAGGACTTCCCTCCGCCGCCCCAGCGCAACACCGCCAACAACCACCGGTCCAACACATCGAGCCGCTCCAGCGCCTCGGCCGCACGATATGCCAAATTTCCCATGAACACCCCGCCGCCACCGCCTCCCAGACCCCAAGACAACGACGACGCCAAGTCGAGGGCTGAGGCCTTCGAGTCGATGCGGTTTCACGGGCGGAAGCCTGCGCCCACCGCGCCACAGCCGAACTCGTCCGCCGGCGCCTCCCGGCCAAGGCCACCGCCCCCGCCCCCGGACCCACGAACCGCCTACACGGCGTCGCAGCAGAAGAAGGCCGAGGCCTCGTTCGGCACCAGGACCCCCCGCGCGTCGCGGTCCGGCTTCGTGCCCGGCTCTCCCATGGGCGACGAGGCGCCCGTGTCGAGCAAGCACTACGCCACCAAGCGCCACACCAGTCTCTTCGAGGACACGGCGTCGGCGTACCAGAAGCCGCAGGCGTCTGCACCTTCGTCTGACCAAGACGACGGCGGGCCCCGTCCATTCCTGGACCCTAGGAGCAGTCCCTACGGCGGCGTTCGTGGCGAGAAGTTCGACCCGTTCAGCGGGGCGAAGCTCGGACGGGCCGGGAGCACCCGCGAGATCCCTCGCAAGCCCGTCGGCGGCGACGCGGATGCGTTTGGGGGAACGTCACACCGGCAGCGCAGCTTCAGCGTCTCGGGCGATGCCGACAGCCCGTCCAAGGGTGCCGAGGGCCGGCGGGGGAGCGAAGCTAACCCGGGTAAGGCCTATCACGCCAATACCTCTGCTCGGATGCCGTCGAGCCCGACCCCCTCCCGGTTCGGGGAGCGATACACCCCGAAGCCACCTTTTCAAGGTGGCGATGACGCGAGCTCGTCAGGAACCAGTGCTGGTATGTGGAACGAACCAAACCCCTCCCATGGAGCCCTCACAGCAAAAAGAAGCGACAGGAGTCGCCATACAGCACAGGCCATGCTAGTTTCTGCAGAGTAATAACTGACTGGTCACCTGGCAGCGGCCAACCTCGGCAGCGACAAAGCAAACAATGCCACCGGCAGGACGAATGGTGGACAGCCCAACGTGTATGACGTCTCTGATCCTTCGGTTGGACCCTCGAAACCTGCATTCGCAGCCCCGCCCCGTCCTCGCGAGGGCTCCGGCACGGCGACCACAAGTGGCGATCGCCGGGACGGCCCAAGCGGCGAGAAGAAGCGCTGCGGCGTGGTGGAAGTCGACCCCGGCAGCAGCAGTAAACAGGGTTCGAGTGGAAGTCCCTCGGAAACGCCCTCGTGTCAGGAGTATACCGCTCTGAACAGTTTCGAGAAGATGCAGTATGACCTGCTTCGCGAAATCATCGGGAGGGCTCCTGAGAATGTCGGACAGACGCAGCGGCAAGAGCAGCAGCATCAGCAGAAGCGACCACAGCATCACCAAGGTCCCCTGGACGGGGACAGCAGCGCTAGGAAGCACATCAAAACTGACAAGGTTGAGCACACCAGCTACCCGACGCCGGGCCACCGAAGCGCCGAGTCCCTCACTCCGAACGCGAACGAGAGCCGGTTTATGCGGAACAGTGCAGATAACATCAACACTAGGTTTGTTGCTGAGGAGCACACGAATGCTAACTGGCAGTTCAACGCCGGAAACGAGATGGGCGACGAGAACGGCCCTCGGCGGTCACAGTCACAGTCTGCAAACCGCGGTAGACGATCACCTCCCAAGAACAGGCCGCAGTCGCGATCCACTGGCATGGCCACTGCGGCTGCGGCTGCGGCTGCGGCAGCTGCTGGCATGGCTGCAGAAGCCTTCATGAACTCGGACACCGACCCCGCCAGCGGCGGATCGACCGACGCTCAGCAACAGCAGCAGAAGGACCAACATAGGTTTGATGCCGACCAGTGGAGGGAGAAGATCGGCTCGGAGCACTTTGTGCCAGTGGCCCCGCCTCGAAGCGCGACATCACCGACACGGGGTAACCGCATGCCCATGGGCAAGAGGAGGGCCAAGGTCCACATGACCAAGGGAGGATCTGCTAGCCTGATGGACGACGACGAAACCACCAGCGGCGAGGAGAAGGCAACAGGGGCGCCTCTCAACGGCGGCGGGACGGACAGCGACAATGCTATGGACATTGACACGCCCATGGGAGATGCTTCGCCGATGCCCCAGGTCAACGGCGTCCGTGGCGTGCCGCTTGAGCCGTCGCGCCCCGAGTGGAGGGCGGGAGACGCGAACGGGTTCGCGGGAGCCTCGCCCGGATCGGGTGCCAGCCCGACCCCAGGCATCGGACTTGGTCTCAACATTGGCGGTCCATCCGGTGTGCCGCCGCTGCCACCCAAGATCCCCGTCAACGAGCAGACCCGGTTCAACACTAGCAATGCTGCCGGGTCCGAGGACACGGATGATCTGGGCGCCAACTTTGCCGACCTCAAGAACGTCGAGCCGCTTGCGCAGCGGCCGTCAGGCCTGGGCTCGTTTGAAGATCTCAAGACAACGCTGCCGTTCGAGAGCCAGGCGGCAGCGACCCCGCCCTTGGACAGACCCCACGTGAGGCCGCCGAGCAAGATCAGCTTCCCTAGGCCGCCCATGCACCCGCGGCCACCGACAGCATTTGGTATCCCTTCCATGACGCCGAACAGGGCGGCCTGGGACAAGTACGTCGCCGAGTTCGAGGTCTACCTGCGCGAGTGGGACGTGGTCGACGCCCAGTTCCTGGACCACATGATAGTGCGGCAGGGCAACCTAAAGAAGCTGAAGCAGTATGGCTGGTCGTGAGTGATGCCTCGTTTGACAACGTAGCGATACAAAAGCAAGACTAACGGTGATTAACAATGTTCCAGCCCGGTGGCCAGCGACGAGGGCATGGAGAAATACTACACATGGCTCGAGGAAGACAAGCAAGTGCACGAGAAGTGGACGGCTTACAGCAATGAACACCACCGTCGCGTCCGCGAGTTCATGGCGCACAAGGACAAGATGAAGGCGTCGTCTTGATCCTGTCGAGCGGGCCTCTCTAGAGGACCTGGCTGAGCATCAGCACTCTCCCGCGCACCGTCTGCCCTACACTCTACTCTAATTTCTCTTGACCGGATGCGGCCAAGCTCACGTCTGTACAGCGAGATACCCCCCAGGCTACGATCAGTACCCCACAATATGTTTTTGAATTTCATGTCTGGATACCAGGCTCCTCGCCTATCTCTATCTATCATTTGCCTGTCTCCCAGAAGCGCGAACAGGCTCCTCGGTTTTGAAGAAGTCGCAGTCGCCCAAACACCGTCAGTAATAGCTGGCCAGCACGAACAGACAGACGGCACGGCTTTTTTTTTCATAGCTACTCTGTGCCTCTCCTCGTCTTGTCGCGATGCTTTGATTTAATTTTCACCTGCATCTCTGGCCCTCACAGACTCATCTCGTTGTCGAATTGGGGGCTCAATTCTGGTGGCGAGATGGGACTTGGCAACATGAAACGCGACGGCACATTACTTTGTGGGAGAGTCATTCTCTATTCTCTGTTCTCTTTTAGCTTTCTCCACGACTATTGCTCACTTCTTCTCTCCATCTCATCTTACTCGGGGGTGTTTCCTGAAGGGCCAGCCACTGCTACTCGAGATGAGCTTTTTTTTTTTTTCTATTCTTTTTTACAACTGTTTAGAATATCCATGCGATGCTTTTATTTACCCTCCTTATTCCCATACTTCTTTAGATCACGACAGGCGGCAGGGCCACACTTTTGCGGAGGGGTGGAACATCAACAGGCGGGCGCGGGCATCGGCGAGGCGTTTTTTTTACCGGAACGGGAAAGGGTTTCAACTCTATGGTAAACCATTATCCATCTACCTCTATGGTAGACCATTATCCATCTACTTTTGCATCACTGGCTGGCTGCTGCCACCCATAAAGTCGAGCCTGCTTGCCCAAACGAGCCGTCTACGGGCGGCAGTAGCTTGATGTTGAGAATTGCAATCCAGACCTGCCATGACCGCCTCACGCTTGCACGTTTCGACTCTACGTCTTGGCTCGTCATGGCCTGCTAGCGGAGAGACGCCCCTTGTACTTTGCCTGTTTCTTTGCCTTATGCCCTTTTTCTCCTTTTTCTCTTTGTTCTCAATTTGCTTTGTCTTTCCCAATCCCCTTTTGTTCCTCGTCTTTTTCGTCCATTCTCCGGCTTTCTCTCGTTCCACCCCTTTTTGTCCCTAGTTTCCTTTTACCTCCCCAAGCTCACTCGGTATATCTATCTCTTGTAGTGGTGGTACAGACATGGGGGGGAATAGGGGCGGCATGTTTTGTCTTTCCGCAGGCGAGCCATCACCCGGCGGGCACATTCACTCGCGGCCTGGCCCGACATAACCCAAGGCGGCCTACCTACCTACCACCTACACCTTTACCTGGCTACAATCCCTCACCCTCATGCAAGCGGCTGGCACGACGGATTCACACCAACACGATTCGCCAGGACGTACACGGCGTGTTACGCGCGCGTTGCGTCAGGAGCGACGCTGACAGCGACGCAAGTTGCAGATGCTAATCACATTCCCCAAACACTGACGATAAATACGAGGGCGCGCGCCCGCAGCAGGCGGCAAGACTCCTTTCTTTTCCTCGGCCAAGCACAGACCCGACCACACGACCTAAAGCGACAAAAAAAAACAAGAAAAATAAAATAAAATAAAAAATGGCAGCACCCCTTCGAGGCTGCGTCGTCTGGATCAACGGCCCGCCCGGCGTCGGCAAGCTCGCCGTGGGCAGCCAGCTCAGCGAGCTGCTGGGCCCGAACACGTGCCCGCCGCCGGTGCCCTACAACTGCGACGGCGAGCCGGCGCACCTGCCCGACGCCGTGCGGCGCGCCCACATGCTGGACCGGGTGCTGTGGGCGCGCGA